CCCTCCCGCTATTAGTGCTATTTTTAATATTTGCACCCTCGTTCTGATAATTATAATACTCTTATAAAGAAAGTAAATAAAGAATTAATCTAAAAATAAACTGTTTTTTTATTTCATTGTTAATATATATGTCTATATTCTTTTCTTTCTTTTTTGCTCGCAATGGGCTATATGCACAGCTTCACTACTTCCTAAACTTCAGCCAGCTCCTTGTTTCCTGTCTGCCATTATTGGCCAAATTGATTAATTCAGGTGTGCTTGTCCTCAGTAGTCAAGGCAACAATAATCAGACACACCCGAATTAATCAAGTTTGGCCAATAATGGCAGGCAGGAAACAAGGAGCTGGCTGAAGTTCAGGAAGTAGTGCAGCTGTGCACTCATTATGCTTCTGCGTCAACTCCACGGCGTAGCTACGTCGTCACTACTACGCCGTCGTGGCCGTTTTATACTTCTGCGTGAGGTTGTGGTGCTTCGCGGTGCATTTCGCCGCCAGAACGCTAGGGGGGTTCGCGAATCTCTTTGGTTCCGTGCGCCGCGAGCGAAAGAGAGATAATGTTGTTGCAGCTGCCAGCTGGAGCTAATGGGCTCTATGCACCGGTATTCCCGGTGAAGCATTAGGGATGCTCGATAACTTCCGCCGATCGTAGAGTCCAATGCAATACCAAGAATTTATATTGAATTTTATACTCCATGGTTATACTAACGAAACGTTAGTCACAAAAACAGATAAAACAGACACCCCTCGTTGTGTTTATGCTTCTTTTTAAAATTATATTAAATAAATATAACTATATATAAAATTACATCTAAATGTATGTTTCATTTCAAAGACTGGAGGACAGTACATTTTGAAGACTCTGCCATAATCCCGTTTTCCTCGGTTTTCCTCCGCTTTAAGGCCAATTTATACTTCTGCGTAGGGTGCGCGCAGTAGGTACGGCGTAGCATACGCACAGACGCGTCCCATACCGCGTACCCTTCCGCGTTGCCTGACGCGCACCTCTTCAAAAATGTAACTACACGTCGCGACGACGCGGACCGCAAGATCGGTGATTGGTCGGCTTGGTAGCGTCGTATTTCCTCATACGCATTTCCGCACGTACCTTCTCCTCCGACGTCTTCTCTCATTTCTGCCTTTCAGTTTTAGTAATTTCACTAAAATGAACTGTTTTTTTCACCCCAATAAGCTCCAACTCCAACATGATCCACTCTCTTTCAGTCGCTATTGCTTGTAGTAACCTAGCCGCGAGGAATCTAAACACAGTGGAACATTAAAACCCTCCGCCGCCTCCTAGCGTTTCGGAGCAGTACTGCAGAGCAACCAATACCTGAACGCAGAAGTATAAATGCTCACAATGGCGTCGCCTACGTGCGAAGCCAACGCCGTACACTACGGCGTACCCTCGACGCAGAAGTATAAATTGGCCTTTAATCTACACAACCGGAAATGGACGAGCATCCAGGCTTGCGTCAAATGCGGAATTTATGCGTGCATATAGCCCATCGTTGAATAACAAGACGACACAAAACTTTATATCCCCACAGAATCAACACGGATGTCCAAGGGCCCGTTCCACCCATAGACAGTAAAATAAAGGTTCCACCCGAGCTGCCATAACGATAGCTGTTCGGAATGACTTGAAGGATTTTTTTCAGTCTCCACATGGAACTGTGCTATGGCAGGATAATGTGTCCCGTGGCAGACTTGGTTAGTACTGTTACGTATTATCAATGATGTAACCGTGAACATTGTATTGAAAATAAACAACAAACTGTGTTTCAAAACAAACGTTGATTTATTGATTGATTGAAGTTTATTGCGAGAAAGAAAGAAAAGAATATAGACATATATATTAACAATGAAATAAAAAAACAGTTTATTTTTAGTTTAATTCTTTATTTAACGTTACTTTCTTTAAGAGTTTTATAATTAAAAGAACGAGGGTGCAAATGTTAAAAATAGCGCTATAACAGGAGGGGGAAATCGGAAAAGCTACACTCCTGAAATTATGTTTAATCTGACCAATCAAAGCCCTTGCTGTCTGCGTCGCCTCGACGCGTAGTTACACATTTTTGGAGGTGCACGTCGAGCTACGGCGGAGGGGTCGGAGAGGGGTTCGCGTCGACGGATAGGTGTCTGCGGGGGTACGCCGTCGATTCGACGCAGAAGCATAAAAACAGGCTTAATGAGGCACGTCAGGGTACGCTGAAGGTACGCACAGCCTACAACTACGGCAAGAGGTCGACGCTGAAGTATAAATTGGGCTTAACTAGGGGAGCGCGGGGCACAACCTAACGCTGGGTTAAATGTAACACGGACTTTTTACATAGTTCGTCAGGATCAAACCGGCCGTCTTTCCGCTCTTTTTCTCTTGCTGCCAGAAGACGGTCTCCCGCGAATTTGCGGAAAGTTTTGATTACATTTCTTGAAGATACTGGACAAAGAGTGTTTTGAGACCATAAAAGTACATTTTTTCAACATTTTTTTTTTCGGTTTCTGAGTTGGGTGTATACTTTTCCAAATCTAACTTTATATTGCCTTAATCACTGTCTTGTTGGCTCAAACATAGCACCGTTTTGAAACATGTCAGCAATTCCTATAACGACTGTTAGCTAGGCTTAAAATATGTAATACACAGAGGGGTTAGTTGTAACACAGTGTTTACACCTAAGCTGCCAAGTGTACAATGATAATCAAATGAAAAAGGAGCCACACAACTTTTCAGGTTTGAGTATACATTTAACTTTGTTGGACTTGCACAAACAATGTTGGTTAAAATTTAGTATACTATGAATGATAACTTGTTTATTTATTAAAAATATGGCCTGTTTTTAATTCAATAAACCCTTTAAATATTTATTTTAAGCTCATTTGTATTATTATTACTGTTATTAATAATAATAATAATTGTACATGCAGCTGGCACACACAAATCTAATTTAATTGCAATTACAATATTTTATAATTTTATTTATTATTATTTCTTGCAAAACAGTGCAGCCCTTTTTTATGTCTCTATCCATGATATTAATCCACAATAGAAGGATGATTGGATGAGGGATGGATATGGATATCTGTCTACAGATGCACAAACAATATCAAACTATACAAATAAAATAGTACTGAATTATGTGTGTTACACACAAGTGTTACAACTAACCCCTCTGTCTGTTACAATTAACCCCGCATATGGGGTAAGTTGTAACATTTGCACTTCTGTCACTTTCAGTCCAACTGTATGAAAATGGTAGGTCCTAGAAAAAAAAAAACTTTATGTGTTCATTTGTAGCAGAGATTTGTATGTTGCTTGTGGAAAAAAATTATTAATCTAACCTAATTATTTTTTAATTAATTGAGCCAAAACCAAAATGCGTTAGGTTGTGCCCCGCTCTCCCCTATACTTGTCTGCCTGTGATGTTTTTCTTCATAAGTGTAGCCTACGTAGTTTAAAGGAATGGTTGTGGGTAGGTTTAGGGGCAAGAGTCATTTTACATCTCTCTCCATTATCTTTATTGTTATCCTTTTTATATTCTGTATAAAATGGGTATGTTTAGGTTTGGGAGTAAGGGTTAAGGCATCTTACATTTATCTATAAAATGGTAAAAGGGAAATTATACAGATATCTTTATATGAAAAATACGTAATCAGTTAACGTTGTGTAGCTGTAAAATCGTAATAATGTTATGCTTAAATGTTGCAAATGTTGTAGAAAACATACATTATATAGATCAGTGGCTATAGCTTTTCAGTCAAAAGTCAAACAGTAAATTGATCTTATATTGTCTTTAATTTATTCTGATTAGGTATCATCATGGACAATGCTAAGAATATTTTATTTATTGATTATCAAGGATTTTTTGACCATTGTTGTTTATATCTAGTAAAATCTGGTGCATAATTATTTAGTGATATTCATTCAAAACGATTTATTTTGTATTTTAAAAGCATTTTAGAGCCATCAGTTTTACACAAAGTGCCAACACCGCTTGTGAAGCTGAAGGTAAAAGTACAACGGGTAAAAACAATATACATTTCTGTTCCAGGGATGTTCTTTAAACTTTTAGTTTAGCTTTGTAATGTGTTAGGGTGAAATGTCCATCATAACAAACTCCTTGGCATGATTTATCAATTATTTTGCTCCTCAAACTTGCAAGCTTATGTTAGCTTGAGGTTAATACTTTTAATTTTCATTGTAGAACATGTCTTGTCACTGAGCTTTATAATATAATCAGGTATCATAAGGTTTAATCATCAGGTGTGTGTCAGCATTTCAATATCATGGATAAATGAGGCCAGGCCAGGAGAATGTGAAAGTGATGTTGCTTTTAAGATAGACAAAAACTTTTACAGTATAAAGAATAAACATGAGAAGTACATTAGCTTTTAGTGGTGTTGAATTGTACATCCCAAACAGTGACCACAAACTCTTGTTGCAAAAGCAGTGCATTTTTTATTTCTATTAACAGAGCCATTGAAACAAAGTTGTGAAATGTAATGTTTTCTTTATTAAGACTTTGGATGATTGTAACACATTTCAAAAATAGGCACAGTTAGCAAAGATTCTGTAACCAGTATATCTGTCCCTTGCAATGGGGGTTGCCTTGCTCTTACTTTGAGTGACAGGGACAGCCAGTCTCTCCTTTTGGTCATCAACAGGTTAATGATTGCCATAAGGGTTTTCAGCATTGCATGTCATTGAATCGGGCTTGAACATAACCATTTACTTACAACAATGAATCCAAAAACCCAATGTAGTAAATAAACTCCATCGTGAGGCTAAGGCATATCAAGCTTGCATTAACTTGAGAGAGGGGGCCACTGAGTAACAGGTGTGAAGTTGCATAAAATGCATCGCTTTCCCATGATGCTTTGACCAATTGGGAGTGGCTTGAAAGTGATGATGCAGTCTAGGCTTGAGGTATATAAACTAAAACAACTATATTAGCAGTTCTGAGCAGTTGGAGCATTCCCAGCCTTGCCTCGGGTGTAGGGATTGCAAGGGAAAAGCAAAACTACACGGTGTAGACATTGTGTAGTTTTGTTTTTTGGGTTATAACAGGGCCCAACCGTTCTCACCTTGGATTTTCTGGAAACGTTTTGGATAAGGATTGTTGCTGAGGCACTAGCCACCTGGGCACAGTCCCATCAAGTATAGGCAGCCTTGTGATACAAGTAAGTGGCATTTACACTGTAGAACACAGCCATTAAAGCAAGTCTTTCTATAAGCTACAATGATGCATGCTTGGACACCTTTTTAAAGCAAAATAACAGTGCTGTGGCTTATAATGTGTTATTTGTTTGAGGTTTTAGAAGGGTGACGAGATAGTGTCAAAATGTGTTACTTCTCAAGAATATTATAAAACATAATGAATCTCAAGGTTATTAAATGTTGATTTTGGAATAGCCAAGAATAGCCTGTGATAGCATTAGAGTGGTGACCTAGCTGGGCCATGATGTCTTTTTAAGGGAATCAGCAGCAGAGATATCAGTTGCACCTCCAGCTATGTGCCACATGGTGACTGTCAATCAAACAAGGGACAGATTATTTTTGGAGACTGCCATTTCTGTCATACTGAATATCAGTCTTCATACATGATGCCATTTAGTCTGAATTAAAATTGTATTGGCATTTTCTGTCTATTATTGATATTTATTACACAAATCTTTTGACTGTGATTGTGAGTCATATTAAGGGACAATGTGTGTCCGCACTTACCTGTTGGTTTTCTGCATTAGGCTTATGATGCAGGCTTATTTCTTTCTTTCTTTCTTTAACAATTTCAACTGAGTCCATTTTCATTTCAGCTGAGTCATTTAACACCATTATGGTTTAATATAATCCAATATATCGTTTTTAATATCAAATTAACATTGTTGATCAAATATCATGTTGTCTTAGTTTTATACAAGATCACACAGACTAAAGATGAATAATATTGTATTATGTATGGGAAATATCTGTATAATGAAGCTATTTGAAACAGATATATTTAGAGATGAAGTTTTTCATTTAAAGCACTAAATCCTCATGGCTGTTTGATGACCAACTTTCAGAAGCTTGACATTTTTTTATTAAGATATATATTTTATCTTAAATATATTTTATTTGCACATAATATAAAGATATATATTAAATGTCTTCATATTAGGCTATTTTACCTCTACATTTACAAACTATACTTGTTTGATATTTTTAAATGAAATGTGCCCACACAGGCCTACATTTGTGCTTTGAAACTACAAGAATGCAAACTATTTTGCTGCTTATATGATTTCTTTTTTTAACATTGCATGTCAGATGTTATAAGAAAAAGGTCACCTAAAGCTCCCAAATTAAGTCCTATTTTCTTTTGTAAGCCAATGATAATTTGAAACATTGGCTACAAGATCCTATTATGCCAAATGTTTAATGTTGAAATAGTTTAGTCGATTACTTTTTAGTTGTTGTATTTTTATTAGCCTTATCTTACAGCTCACAGTTGCTGTTTAACACATTTCTAACATTTTCAATTGGGTGCTTGACCTGACACTCAACAGCTTCACCGTTCACAGTTCTCACAAATGACAAGCTGCTGATGGCCAGGTGTCGGTGGGGGTGTTAGTGATTAGTCAGTTCATTTCTTTTACAGCTAAAAATAGCCCTTCCAGTTTGTCATGTAACAGACAGTAATGCTGTTGTATTTCTAATTGATTCATTGGGAATTCAACAATTATCTGGCTATAATATGGTATTCACTACTCTATTCTGTTCTTTTCTAGGGCGCCTTCCATCATGTCAACACAAGCTCCAACATTTACACAGCCGCTTCAGAGCGTTGTGGCACTTGAGGGTAGTGCTGCAACGTTCGAAGCTCAAGTTAGTGGTAAGGACTGGTCAGGTCATTAGGAAACTGGAACCCTAACCCTAACTGGAAAGATTTAGATTTGACTATTTTAACCCCACCTTTGTTAACCCAAATTTTAAATAAAAATTTGATACCTGCAAAAAAGAAATTACATCCAATAATATGAGTTAAAATTAACACAATGCTGTTTTGGTATTGATGAAGGGGAACTTGAGCCTTGCTGATGAGGCTATGGTGTGATATTTGAAAAATATTTGAGAAATACTATTCTAGAATAGCTTATTCATAATTTCCTCCGATATTTTTCTATAGGTAATCCAGTTCCAGAGGTGAGCTGGTTTCGTGATGGCCAGGTTCTTACTGCTGCCGCTCTGCCCGGCGCTCAGATCTCGTTCAGCGATGGCCGCGCTGTTCTGATGATCCCCGCCGTGACAGCCGCACACAGCGGAAGATTTTCTGTGAGAGCTACCAATGGCGCTGGACAAGCCACTAGCACAGCTGAACTGCTGGTTACAGGTAAGCCATCACTTTTGAAACAACTTTTGTACTTTTCTGCCAGTCACTTTTTATGTCAAACAAACATAAAACTATTTCTTTGCTTGCCTCAAAGCCGAAACTGCGCCACCAAACATCATTCAAAGACTACAGAGTATGACTGTGAGACAAGGGAGCCAAGTGAGACTGGATGTTCGAGTTACAGGAATCCCTGCACCTGTGGTGAAGTTCTACAGAGAGGGAGCTGAGATTCAGAGCTCTGCTGACTTTCAGATTGTTCAAGATGGAGACCTTTACAGTTTGTTGATTGCTGAGGCCTTCCCTGAAGATTCTGGAACGTATTCTGTCAGTGCTTCTAACAGCAGTGGACGTACTACTTCTACAGCTGAACTTCTGGTTCAAGGTTTGATTTTCACTGCGTAATGAAATAATTTGACATTTTTGTAATATGGTGTGTTCTTTAAATATTTCCTTTTTTAATGTCAGGTGAGGAGGTTGCAGTGCCTGCAAAGAAGACCAAGACTTTTGTTTCAACTTCTCAGATTTCACAGACTCGCCAGGCTAGAGTTGAAAAGGTATTTAACATTCGGACAAAATTACACATTTGGCTGACAGCAAAATACCATGTTAACTCTGTTATTTGTCCTTCACAGAGAATGGAGGCCTCGTTTGAGTCCACAGCCATGATGGAAATGGAAATGGAGGATGCTGATTTGGCTCACAAGACACCACCTCGTGTGCCACCAAAGCCGACTTCCAAGTCCCCAACCCCACCAACAGGGGTGTCAAAGGTTGCAGCTACGCGCCATCAGTCACCCTCTCCTGTGAGGCCTGTTAAAGCCCCCATTCACACACCTCACAGGTGAAGTATATTTTCAAAATCATTACTACTCAGTAGTAATATCTTTTTACAAACACCTTTTTCGAGTGCACATATTGCAGATAACTGAACTAAAATCAATAGTGAAAATGATTGCTATATAATGGAAAGTAATTTGTTCCCTCACCCACACTTATGAAAATATAAGTGTAAAGATGAATCAGTGTTCTGTTTATTTTATGATACATTAAACATCTTTTTTTCCTGTTTTATTTTAGGCCTGCTTCCCCTTCAAGACTGTCTGTGTCCCCTATCAGACCAGTGAAGTCTCCAATGACTATACACAAGCAAGTCGCACAGGCTGCAGATGTTCTACCTCCTTGGAAGCAGGAGGGGTATGTGGGAGAGTCCAGCTATACCAGCATGACTACTGGGGCCTCATATGTTCAGACCTCCTCCACATTTGTCCATAAGGAGCAGCAATGGGAAGGTTCTTTTGCTATGCAGCAACAAGCCAGTGGAGTTGCTGTCAAAGAAGTAGGTCTATTTTTGCTACTATGACCTCTAGTGGGTAAAATGAAACATTCTGTCTTTGTGATAATATGAAAGAAAAACTATTCATTACTTGGAATTTATTTTAAAGTAATGAATAATCAAAACATTCTAATTAGAAAAAAAGAAGTGCTTAAATATATATTTTGAAATAAACAATAAAAGTGTAGCAATATGTGTGTGGTCACTGACAAAAGGCCATTTGGAGGTATTTACGATAATTCATTGTCTAGTGCAAACAGACTGAGTTGAAAAGGAGACAACACACATTATTGAGATTACCATTACCTAAAGTGCAACGGAATCCACTTCAGAGGCAGTGGGGGGAAGTGTGATTGTTTTCACACCATTTTTCAGTTGTCACTCCTTAAATAATCACACTTCATTTAGAAATTTTGAACTGTTTTAATGTAATTTAACTGATTTAATATATCAACTGGACATACACATGTTAATAAATGTTTTCTTCCATCTGAATAAATTTGCTCCACACTATGAAACCACATTACTGAAATTACATTACTTTTATTAGAAAGATAGTACGTCTAATGTTTTTTTGTCCATTGTCAAAGTTTGTGTTCATTCTCTGTGCACAATATTTTCTGCTTCTTGCTCTTAAAGTGAGAAAAGTGATTATGCCTACAGGCCCAATTGTTTCTAGAAGTCGAGCAGTTGTGTTTTTAAAAGGTTTAGTACTCACAGAAATGTATTAATCATCTTTGTTTTGAATCTCTTGAATAGAGGTAAGCATGCACAGTGACAGACAAACAGTGAATCCTTCAATAAATATATTATAGCACCAACTTTTTAGTCAGCAAAAATATATGATATAAACACAAACTATATGTGCATAAATATGGATCAGATAACTAAAATGTCCTGCTTTGTCAGTAAGGCAGGTAAAGGTAATTGAGCGTTTGACCAAACAGTGAGACTGAGTTATTTTGTGTATATAAGCTGACTGTGATGGATGTACACAGTTGCTGAGCTCTAAAGATAGCTTGTGTCATGTGATGGTCTTATAATAGAATGATAAAAAAGTGTGCCAAGAATTGGACACTGTTTGCTGAAGCTATTTTACCAGTGAACATACTAAATACTCGTTGACTTTAAAATTAGGATTCAACCTCACATTGATCATTAGGATATCTTAGGTAATATACTAAATTTTAATTAATTGCAATTCAGGTTGAATTTATATTTTGTTATAATAATACAGTTTATGATAGCTGCAAAACAGGGGGGATTGCACAATCTTGTGGAGGTAGCTTGGGACACACAGGTATGTTGTGTAGATTTATATAGTTAATCTGACTGAAATCATCTCGAATTATTCCACTTACAATTTCGCCCCCTGCCTTTTGACCGTTATGAACACAACCAGTCCTGTACAGATCTCACTTGCTTCGCTGAGGAATTATTCTCTTTAACCATTTTTCCTCTTTTACCCATTAATCATTCATCTTAAACCATTTATATTTTACTGTTACAATCTTCTGATTTGTATTTGGTTTTCCATCTCAACCACTCATGCTTGAAAAATTGAAGCAGAAAGATAATAAAATAATAATAATTATGTAATAATACATTTTCATTTTATTTTTTTATTTTTTGCAATTTAGATTGTTGAGACTGCAGCAATCCCATCCCTAACAAAAGAGCCAGTGATGCCGCCAACTATTGTGGCTGTGAGTAAATGAGCACTTGTACACATGAATGTGTACAACACAGAGTAAACATTTAATTTAAATTAAAAGGTTAAGATCTCTTGCAAGGTTCAAATATTTACTTAGATTTTGAAATTCTGTTTTTTACTTTGGCCAGGGTTTAAAGAATGTGACTGTTACGGAAGGAGAGTCTGTCACTCTGGAGTGCCAGATTTCAGGCCACCCCACCCCAGCTATTATGTGGTTCAGAGAAGATTACAGAATTGAGCACTCCATTGACTTCCAGATTACTTATGAAAGCAGCTATGCTTGTTTGGTGATCCGTGAGGCCTTTGCTGAAGACAGTGGCCGCTTCACTTGCACTGCTACCAGTGAGGCTGGAACTATCAGCACCTCCTGCTACCTGCTTGTCAAAGGTAAGATCATGAATCATAAAATAGACCACGAAATATGACTTGGCTTGAAACAAAATGATCCGTGCATTTACGGACTAATTTTTAATTTTCAGTCTCAGAAGACATTGAAAGCCGAGAGGATTTCTCTACTGTTGCTGAACACATTGAAATGTCTGCTCAGGATAGATGGTGAGTTAATAGACTCCTTTGTGGTATAAAATTATATTAAACAATATAAGAATTTGCAATCTGAGTCCTTGGTATTTCACAAATAGGGTTACAGTTGAAGCAAAAGAGGAGAAAATGTCTGAAATAAGTGCAGTCTCTGAGCATATGGAAGGTGGAGCAGGTGTTGCCCCTTTCTTTGTGAAGAAGCCCACAGTGCAAAAGCTTGTGGAGGGCGACAGCATAATCTTTGATTGCCAAGTTGGAGGAAGCCCCAAGCCTCATATTTACTGGAAGAAAAGTGGAATTCCACTTACTACTGGATACAGGTATGGTTTATACTGTACAAATATTTTGTAAAATATTGCCATACTTTTTCATTAATGTGAATAAAAAGTATTTAGACTGCTTAATAATGAATTAGCAGACAAACAAATGATTTTTGTGCTGGTTTTATCTCTATTGCGACTTAGTTTGCGAAGTATTTTTATGTATTGTCTTCTGTTTGAGTTCAGTTTCATGTGAACTATGAACTAAATATATTAATAGGAAATAAACTCTAACTCATATATCCTCTAGGTACAGAGTAGCCTATAATAAGGACACAGGAGCATGCAAGCTTGAGATCTCCATGACATTTGCGGATGATGCAGGAGAGTACACCATCTTTGCTAGGAACCCACTTGGAGAGATCTCTGCATCAGCCATGCTGCTTGATGAAGGTTGGTTTTTGGGGTGAGTATTATAAAATGCAATAACATTTCAGATCAATTGTTTATAGTGTTTTTTTTGGCATTTTACAGAGGCATATGAGCTGTATGTGAAGAAACAAGTAGAGACATTCAAGACAGAAGTAACTACTATTATAGAGGAGCCAAAAGTGGCTGACATACCTGCTGTTGTTGAGACTGTAACTGAGAAAGAGCAGATGCTCATTCAAAGGAGGATGGCTCAACAAACCCAGATGATGCAGTCCTTCATTTCAGAGCAGGTATGAAACGATGTGTTCCCTATCGAGGGAAATCAAACTGTAACACTAAGTGACACTTTGGGGGGAACGCCCCTCAGCGTAGCGTCTCTGAAGCATGAACGAAACTAAGCCAATCTCCGATTGGATCAACGTGATGACGTGATATGTGACGACACATAGGCGGAAGCATATATAAGGAACCGGCACACACAACATGTCAGCTTTCTGTTCTTCAGCTAAGCGCTCTCTGTGACTGTCAGTCTTATTTATTGTTTGTCTGTCTAAGCAAAGTGAATCTCCCTCTAAAAAGGGTCAGCCTCGTGAGCCCCGTGGTGCGGGACCCGCGTCCGCCGAGGCAGTGCGGTGACGCTCTTCATGGGGCTCGTAAATGGATCTATCTGGGGATCCCGAGGCTGCTGAGGCACCTTCTCGGGATTCATCGGACAGTTCCGATGTCCTCGAGCCTCGCGCAGAAGCCCGCTCGGCTGCTTCTTCTGCACGAGTCGAGGATACGATGCTTGAGCTGTCTGCTTCCGAGGAGGTGGACGTGCTCAGCATCGAAGGGGGCAGGGACTTCGGGGATGACTCGCCACCCCGTGTCCCCGCATATGAGGATCTGGTAGAGGTTGTTTCCCGTGCAGTGGCTCATTTAAAGATCGATTGGCCACAAGAAAAGCAGGAAGTGCAAGTTAAAAGCAAATTAGATGAGCGCTTCCTGCAGCACAGGGAACAACCTCATCATCGGGACTTACCGTTTTTTCCCGATTTGCATACTGAGGTGTGTAAATCGTGGAAGAAACCCCATTCTTCTCGTGTTTCCAATCCTACTGTGTTAAAATATAGCAATATCATGGGGGCATGAGAGAATGGTTATGGGATGATGCCGCGGGTTGAACAGCCTTTGGCTAATTATTTATCAACTGAGTCGGCATCATTCTTTAAAGCCCCGGTGCTGCCCACCAAGCCATGCAGAGAAACATCTTCACTGGTGGGCAGGGCATATTTGGCTGCGGGTCGGGCTGGTGCGAGTCTTCACACCATGGCGCTTTTCCAAGCGTACCAGGCCGACCTTCTTAAGGATATTGATGAGGGCGAGGGACCAACTCCGGAGGATGTGGCGGAGTTGAGGAAGGTCGCTGATTGGTCTCTCCGAGTCACCAACCTGAGGGCCGTCCTGCAGGCTAAGAAAACATCTAAGAGGTCCTAGCAGGGCTCGCGGAGCCCGCAGGAAATCGATGTTGTTCTCCCGTCGTCGAGTACGTTTCGGGACGCATCGGTTTCCAGCGATCGCAAGCTGCTTTGTCCGCCCCACGAGCCTGTGGACGGGCAGCGATTGCATTCGCCCATCGAGAATCGTTTTCGGTCCAGTCCTGCCGGGGATCCGTTTCAGGCGGTCGAGAACGAATCCCGATTAATACCCGAAACCAGGCTCTAGAGCCTGGTTCCCTTGGTGAAATATTTCGATGCATGGAAAAATCTAGCGAATATTTCCCCGTGGGTGCTGCGCACGATACAATACGGGTACAGGCTGCAGTTCGGGTTCCACCCACCCAGATTCAACGGGGTGGTCTGGACTGTAGTCAACCCGGCGCAGGGTCGGGTATTGGAACAAGGAAGTAAACTCCCTGCTGGCAAAGGGGGCTATAGAGCATATTCCTCCACTAGACAGGGAGTCCGGGTTTTACAGCCGCTACTTTATAGTTCCCAAAAAAGATGGGGGGTTGCGTCCGATCATAGATCTCAGATATCTGAACCGCTCTCTGAGGAGATTCAGGTTCAAGATGCTCACTATTCCCATGATCGTGAGTCAGATCCAATCAGGGGATGGGTTTGTCACGATAGATCTAAAGGATGCATATTTTCATATATCCATCCTTCCATCCCACAGTTCCAGAACCAAAGTTCCTGAGGTTCGCTTTTGGGGGCGAAGCGTACCAATATCGGGTTCTTCCGTTCGGCCTAGCTCTCTCTCCCCGCACATTCACCAAATGTATGGATGTAGCTCTAGCACCTCTGAGGCTCCAGGGTGCTCAACGGTCATGGACGGCCGCTTCACGACAGGTCTATGGCAGGACCATCATTCCTCCTGGCACATAAACTGCCTGGAAATGTTGGCGGTCTCCCGGGCTCTGAGGAGCTTCCTGCCGGACCTCAGAGGTCACCACGTCCTCGTGAGGTCAGACAGCATGTCAGTGGTGGCCTATATAAACCATGAGGGGGGCCTGAGGTCTCACCCTCTATGCAGATTGGCGCATCAGATCCTCCTGTGGTCCCAGGGGAAACTGTTGTCTCTGAGAGCAACATACATCCCGGGAAGTCTAAATCAGGGAGCAGACGTCCTGTCGAGACAGGGGCTGAGGCCCGGGGAATGGAGACTTCACCCTAAGGCGGTGGAGTCGATATGTCAGAGGTTTGGCCCAGTGGAAGTGGACCTGTTTGCGTCTCGAGAGACGACCCACTGTCCGCTGTGGTTTTCCCTCACCCCTCCAGCCCCGCTGGGGCTGGATGCTATGGTACAGACGTGGCCGAGGCTGCGTTTGTATGCATTTCCCCCGATCGCTCTGCTCCCGGGAGTTCTGGAGAGGGTCCGTCGCGACGGGATCAGTCTACTGTTGGTAGCCCCGTTGTGGCCGGCCCGAGTATGGTTCTCGGACATAATATTGCTCCTAGACGGCCCTCCATGGGAGATTCCCCTCAGGAGGGACCTGCTGACACAGGCGGGGGGCTCAATATTTCACCCTCGGCCAGAGCTATGGAAATTGTGGGTCTGGTCCCTGAGGGGGCACAGTACCTAGAGGCTGGCCTGTCAGCTGGAGTAGTGGAGACCATACTCAGCTCTAGAGCTCCCTCCATGAGGAAACTGTATGGTTTAAAGTGGAATGTGTTTATTGATTGGTGTAGGAGGTGTGAGGTTGACCCAGTTAACTGCCCAGTGGCTTCAGTGCTGGAGTTCCTCCAAGATCGCTTCTCCTCTGGTCTTACCCTGTCCACACTCAAGGTGTACGTGGCTGCCATTGCGGCTTTCCACGCTCCGTTGGGTGATGGATCTCTGGGGAGACACCAATTGATCGTACGTTTCCTCCGTGGGGCTTGGAGGATGAGACCTGCGGCTCGTACCAGGGTTCCCTCTTGGGACCTGGCAGTAGTTCTAGAAGGGTTGGCTGAGGCCCCCTTCGAGCCACTGGAGTCGGCTGAGGCCAAGAACCTAACGCTGAAGGTCGCTTTTCTGTTGGCCATCACTTCTCTGAGGAGGGTGGGAGATCTTCAGGCGCTCTCTATATCTAACGAGTGCCTGGAGTTTGCTCCAGGCAACATTAAGGCCATCCTTCACCCTAGGCCTGGCTATCTGCCTAAGGTGCCATCTAATGTGGTACGGCCTACGGTTCTGCAGGCATTTCATCCTCCACCTCACCTGACGACAGATGAGGAGAGACTACATAGGCTCTGCCCTGTCAGAGCACTAAGGATATATATTCAGAGGTCCTCTTCATGGCGGAAGGTGGACCAGTTGCTGGTGTGTTTCGGGTCGCCCAAAAAGGGGCTTCCGGCCTCAAAACAAACCATCAGCAACTGGATTGTCAATGCGATTTCCACAGCTTATCAGGTGCGCAGTATGCCTTCACCTTTGGCTGTGAGGGCCCATTCCACTAGAGGCATAGCATCCTCTAGGGCCCTTCTCGCAGGGAAGGCCCAGCGATGCAGCTGGATGGGCTACCCCACATACCTTCATTAGGTTTTACAGCTTAGACATTCCGTCGACACCCGGCTCTCGTGTGCTCGCGTCCTGAGTGTGCCTGTGAGCAGCTTCACACCAGGACAGGCAGGGCGCGTTGTGGTGTAGTGGGTACTCGTTCCCCCAAAGTGTCACTTTGACGCAATTTGAGTTCCCTCGATAGGGAACATCCTCGGGTTACGACTGTAACCCTTGTTCCCTGAGAAGGGAACGAGAACTGTGCCTCGTGGCCACGCCTTCCCCTGCCTGGGAGCGCTTGCTTCATCACAGAAGCTGACATGTTGTGTGTGCCGGTTCCTTATATATGCTTCCGCCTATGTGTCGTCACACATCACGTCATCACGTTGATCCAATCGGAGATTGGCTTAGTTTCATTCATGCTTCAGAAACGCTACGCTGAGGGGCGTTCCCCCCAAAGTGTCACTTTGACGCAGTTCTCGTTCCCTTCTCAGGGAACAAGGGTTACAGTCGTTTTTAAATATTTTTTAACATTATAAGTCCTAAAAATTAACTTCTGCATTTACAAAGTGTGAGCATGAACCTTACAGTGATATTTCACAGGAGTTCCAAATATCTAACTTGGAGCAAAGATTCATCCAAGAAATTGAGTTCCACCTACTCAAGATTACCTACCAGGAGTTGGTGACAGAGGATGGGGAGCAGATGGATATGAGTGTTTCTGAACATGAAGCTATTTCTCCTGTTTTTAATACTCCAGTTAAAAGTTACAGACTCAGGGAGGGAATGAGTGCAACTTTCCATTGCAGAATGACAGGAACCCCTCTCCCTAAGGTAAGATTAAATCGTTATGTTTACATACATTCAACATTCAATCAACTAAGCTAGTATAATTTTTTTTAACAATTACAAACAAGCACAATTGTACTGAAAATCCTCAGTACATGTCCAATCAAATTAGAGGACTGGATTTTTTTGTTTTTTTTATAATTATTAGATAACCTGGTACAAAGATGGCAAGCGCATCAAACATGGAGGCCGTTATCAGATAGAGGTTCTGCTAGATGGTAGAGCCAGTCTACGTCTTCCTACAGTTCTGGCTGAAGATAAGGGTGTCTACACTGCTTTGATCAGTAACATAAAGGGGAATGCTGTCAGCTCTGGAAAGATGGATGTGGAGCCTGTTGTAACACAAACAACGCTTCCTCAGCCAGGAGGAGTTCAAAGAATTAGGTAGGTTTTGACTAATCAATCTAAGAAAATTACATAGTTTGTAATATCGCCATAGCAAATTACACAATATTTTAATACAAATGTTATTGGATTGAGATATTAAAAATGTTGCAATTTTCAGGTCCACATCACCACGCTCCACAAGTTGTTCTCCAGGTCGATCACCTTCCCGAAGACTTGATGAGACAGATGAGGCCCAGCTAGAAAGACTCTACAAGCCAGTGTTTGTACAAAAGCCCTCTTCCTTTAAGTGCTCTGAGGGACAGACTGCAAGATTTGATCTGAAAGTTGTTGGAAGACCCATGCCTGAAACTTACTGGTTCCACAATGGTTAGTGATCTGCATCCATAGGAGATTTTATAACAGTGACAATTATTTTATTACCATACCATGACAACCATTCTTTTTTCATTACAGGACAGCAGGTAGTCAATGACTACACCCACAAGATTGTGGTAAAGGAGGATGGAACTCAATCAATGATTGTGGTTCCTGCCATGCCTCAGGACTCTGGAGAGTGGACAGTTGTTGCTCAGAACAGAGCTGGAAAAACATCTGTATCTATGACTCTCACTGTTGAAGGTATGGCATTATATACACTAATAATTAATTTATAAAATACATTTTTGAATGACTTCAGGCCAACTGCATTAATTATTTGTAATGAAATATTCGGTTTACGTTGTTATCATTTTCAGCCAAGGAAAACTTGGTGAGACCACAGTTTGTTGAGAAGCTAAGAAACATCAGCGTTAAAGAGGGTACTTTGGTTGAGCTAGCTGTTAAAGCTATTGGCAACCCCCTTCCTGACATTGTTTGGCTGAAGAACAGTGACATAATCTCCCCACATAAACACCCACATATCAGGTACGTTTTCAGTCATGAAAATATAGCCTATTGGTTTAAGTAAATTCAAGTAAACGATCATAATGTTGGTCCCTGTGATGATATGTATGTTTATATATATGTAACGGTTCACAAAATTCACTGTTCGGTTCGATACGGTTTGGTACGTTTCCAATAAGCCTACTGGAAAAAAGATGGCAGAGAAATTTCCTTGATTTATTTTTTTTAAATTATATTTTTATTAAAACTAACTAAACTAAAACTTTTTTTTTAACTTTGAGCAATGATGGAGCCATAGGCTACTTGACTTTTCTGAGGAGCATATAAAACAAAACAGCTCCTTGGACAAAATGAAATGTAATATTGTAGTAGTTATAAGCAAAGGTTTATTTTAGTTCAGATTAACATTTCAGGGCAGCGAATGTATTCATAATGTCAAAATAAAACCGATGTGATGTTACTTGAAAGGATTATAGCCATGACATTTGCCATTTGATGTTGGATTTGTGGTCACGCCAGCATCTCTTACATTATGATCGCGCTTGCCATGCGTAACGCGCATTTGAAACAACAAAATTTTGGTCGGCAGGAAAAATGGTCCAACGAACCGTTCGGTTCAAAAATGCGTACCGAAAACCGAACCGAAAGCCTCGTACTGTATGGTTCGATACGAATACGTGTATCGTTACACCCCTAATATATATATATATATATATATATATATATATATATATATATATATGCATACATATAAAGCCCTTCTATATTTGAATTAACTGAATTTATTTGTTTATTAGGATTGAGGGGGGTAAAGGAGAAGCTCATTTCAAGATTCCATCAAGTACAGGATCTGATAGCGCATGGTACACTGCTACAGCTATCAACAAAGCTGGCAGAGATACCACACGTTGCAGAGTTAATATTGATGTGGATGCAGTACTGCATCAGCCTGAGAAAAAGCTTGTAATTCCCAAGGGAACCTACAAGGCCAAAGAAATTGCTGCACCAGAGTTAGAGCCACTACATCTTCGCTATGGTCAAGAACAATGGGAAGATGGTGACCTCTATGATAAGGAGAAGCAACAGAAGCCTCTCTTCAAAAAGAAGCTTACCTCAGTCAGGCTGAAGCGATTTGGACCTGCACACTTTGAGTGCAGACTGACCCCTATTGGTGACCCGACCATGAATGTTGAGTGGCTGCACGATGGAAAACCGTTGGCAGCTGCTAACAGACTACGCATGGTCAATGAGTTTGGCTACTGCAGTCTTGACTATGAAGCTGCTTATTCCAGAGATAGTGGTGTCATTACATGCAGAGCCACCAACAAATTTGGAGTTGACCAGACCTCTGCTACATTAATTGTTAAAGATGAGAAAAACCTTGTTGAGGAAACACAGTTGCCAGAGGGAAGGCGAGGTCAAATAATAGATGAAATAGAGCGTATTGCCCATGAGGGTGGCCCCTCTGGAGTTAGTGGAGATGATAACTTTGAGAAGACTAAGCCAGAGATTGTGCTACTTCCAGAGCCATTAAGAGTTATGGAGGGAGAATCAGCCAAATTTCGCTGTAGGGTGACAGGCTACCCTACACCAAAAGTCAACTGGTACCTCAATGGACTGCTCATCCGCAAGAGTAAACGATTTAGAATTCAATTTGATGGTATTCACTACCTGGAAATCGTAGACACCAAGTCATATGATTCAGGTGATGTCAAAGTTGTGGCTGAAAACCCTGAAGGTGTTACCGAGCATCTTGTGAAATTTGAGATTCAGCAAAAGGAGGACTTCAGGTCAATCCTGCGCCGTGCTCCTGAGATCAAGGCTCCTGTTCCTGCACCATCACAAGAGCATGGTAGAGTCTCATTTGAGGTTGTCAAAGCAGAGAAACCATCTGTAACCTCTAAAGAACCAAAGGAGGTGGTTAAGCTGAGGAAAACCGAGAGAGTGATCCATGAGAAATCAACAGAAGAAACAGAAGAACTGAGAAGCAAATTCAAGCGTAGGACCCAAGAAGGCTACTATGAAGCAATAACTGCCGTAGATCTGAAGTCCCGCAAGAAGGATGAGTCTTATGAGGGTATGCTAAAGAAAAGGAAAGAAGAGCTTCTTCATCGCAACAAAGAACTAGGGCTTGATGCTGAGAAGAAAAAAGAAGAGGAGAGTAAACTCACCATTCCCAAAGTCAAGCCAGATAAGATTGTGCTCTCTCCAAGCATGGAGGCTCCAAAGATCATCGAACGAATCCAGAGCCAGACAGTTGGCCTGGGAGATGAAGTACACTTCCGTTGTAGAGTCACCGGTAAACCAGATCCAGAATGTCAGTGGTTCAAGAATGGTATCTTATTGGAAAACTCAGACCGGGTTTACTGGTATTGGCCAGAAGACCATGTCTGTGAATTAGTGATAAAAAATGTCTTAGCTGAGGACTCAGCGAGTGTAATGGTCAAAGCCATGAACATTGCTGGAGAGACCTCAAGCCATGCTTTCCTGCTGGTTCAAGGTAAAAATAAAATCCTACTAGTTGCTGTTTGCATATTATCAGTACCATAAATGGTAAAAGTTATCTCGAGTCATTGTTCTTTCACTTTTCTTTTAGGCAAACAAGTTGTCTCTTTTACACAACTTCTAGAAGATCAGTATGCTAAAGAAAAGGACACCATGATGACCTTTGAATGTGAGACAAATGAGCCATTTGTTAAGGTCAAGTGGATGAAGAACAATGCAGAAATTTTCTCAGGTGACAAATACAGAATGCACTCTGACAGAAAGGTGCACTTCCTGTCAGTGCTGATGATTTCTATGAAGGACGAAGCTGAGTACAGTTGTGTGGTTGTTGACGATGACCACATAAGAACCAGCGCCTCACTTTATGTTGAAGGTTAGTACAACACTTGCAATAGTTTTATCTTCTCATCCAACTGTGTTTAATAGTTTTGAGCATTTCATTATTTGGTGAAATGTACAATTTGATGTCTTGTACAGGTGCACCACTTGAAATTGTAAAGAACCTTGAGAATACAGAAGTACCTGAGACGTACTCTGGAGAGTTTGAGTGTATTTTGTCCCGTGAGGATGCTGAAGGCACCTGGTATTTTGAGAGCAAAGAAATCACTCCTAGCCTTAAATATGTTGTGTCTGCACGTCGTGGTCGTCATAGTCTTTCTGTGAAAGATGTTAAGAAGCAGGACCAAGGAAAATACACTTTCAAAGTGGGGGATCTTAAGACAAGTGCCTCCCTTAAGATGACAGGTGAGAATGCGTAAACTAGGATTGAATTATTTAAAAGTGCTTTTTATAAGCTGTGGACTTTTCTATTAAAATTCATTTTAGTTGTCTGCTATAATTAAAAGTCATTTAAATCATATTTAAATATTTCTGATTCACTCTAGTGCGCCCTGTGACTCTGATGCAAGGTCTTTCTGACCTGACAATCTGTGAGGGTGATATTGCCCAATTTGAGGTGCGATTCTCTCAGGAGAATGTGGAGGGCACATGGATGATGAATGGTCAAGCCATCTCTGCTTCCAATAAGATTCACATGGTTATTGACAAAGTCACCCATAAGCTTCTCATTGAGGACGCCAATAAGGGTGATGCAGGAATATACTCTTTTGTTGTTCCTGTTCAGGACATTTCTACAAAGGGAAAGCTAACAGTTCAAAGTAAGCCATCTTATTAACCATAAATGAATGTTCAATGAGTTCTCAAACATTGATTTCCATTTTCATGAGAAAAGAGGCTGTTTTATCAATTATGTTGTTTCTTTTCCAGCAATTGGCTTCTTGACACCATTAAAAGACATTTCCACAGTAGAAGGCACTAAATCTGTCCTTGAGGCTAAAATCTCGGCTCCTGATATAACTTCAGTAAAATGGTTCCAAAATGACAAGCTGGTGACAGCAAGTGATAGAGTCCAGATGGTTGTCAAAGGAGCCAAACAGAGACTGGCAATTAACAGGACATATGCATCAGATGAAGGACAATATAAACTGATTGCTGGCAAAGTAGACTCAACCTGTAAACTTTCTGTCCAGCGTGAGTGTCACTTAAAATTGTTCCAATATATTTCCTTCCTGTTTTAATTGTTTTAAAAGAGTCAATAATGTTGCCATTGTTCATTGTGTTTTATAGCTGTATCTATTGTTAAGCACATGGAGGACTGCGTTTGCACAGAGACCCAGAATGTCACCTTTAAAGTGGAGGTATCTCATCCTGGCATTGATGCTCTCTGGACTTTCAAGGGTCAGCCTTTAAAAGCAGGTCCAAAGTACAAGATAGAGGGCAAAGGTACACACTATAGCCTCACTGTTTTGAATGCCATGAAGGATGAGGAAGGAGAGTACATGTTTATGGCTGGTGAGAAGGAATCTAGAGCAAGGCTTATTGTATCAGGTATGTAGAGTTTCAAATTGTTTTTAAAATATAAGTACCTACTATTTTGCCATGCACAACGTGGGCATTTTTTTATTTCTTCATTAGGTGGTGCTATAAACAGGCCACTCTATGATTTGACTGTAGCAGAATCCCAAACTGCTGAGCTGGAGTGTGAAGTTGCTAACCCTACTACGGAAGGCAAATGGCTCAAAGATGGCCACCCCATTGACTTCAACGATAATATCATAAGTGAAAATAAAGGTGCTGTTAGACGCCTTGTCATCGGCATCACCAGGCCACAGGATGTTGGAGAGTACACCTACCAGGTGGCAAACTCCAAGACATCTGGCAACTTGAAGGTTGAAGGTAAATTTTGTGATGCTATAGTTTACTGCAAATTATGTTATCCATTCTGTTAGAAGTTATTTATATGTATTTTTTTATCCAAGCTGTTAAAATCAGGAAGACAATGAAGAACCAAACCGTTACTGAGACCCAGGAGGCAGTATTCAGTCTTGAACTCACCCATTTAGATGTGAAAGGATCCCAGTGGATCAAGAATGGTGTTGAGATTCATCCAAGTGATAAATTTGAGATAACAGTTGATGGCATGGTTCACACCTTGAAAATCAAGAACTGCAATTCCCAAGATGAATCAGTCTATGGTTTCAAACTTGGAAAACTGTCTGCTAATGCCAGACTAAATGTTGAAAGTATGTTTTTATGTTATTAATTATCTGTCAAGTATACAGTTATTTAAATCTGTCTGCTGTTATTAGATGCATTTCAATACCTTTAAATATCTTTTATAGCTATCAAAATTGTGAAAAAATTAAAGGATGTGACATCACTGCTGGGGGCAACGGCATCATTTGAGCTGAGTTTATCCCATGATGACATTCCAGTTAAGTGGATGTTCAACAACCAGGAGCTCAAGCCGACCTCAAATATTAAAATACTGTCTGAGCGGAAAGCCCACAAACTTGTCATTCAGAGTGTTGAAGGTCACTTGGCAGGAGAATACATTGCTGTGGTTGGGCATCTGCACTGCAGTGCTCATCTTCATGTTGAATGTAAGTATCTGAATTTTTTTCACCTTAAATGTGCCTTCTAAATACATTTTAACTTTCACATATTGCGTATATTCAGATTTGAGAGTCACAAAACCTCTGAAGAACATTGAGGTTCCAGAAACCCATGTGGCCACGTTCGAGTGTGAAGTTTCACATTTCAATGTTCCATCCACCTGGCTGAAAAATGGAGTTGAGATTGAGATGAGCGAGAAGTTTGGAATTGTGGTGCAGGGCAAACTTCATCAGCTGAAAGTCATGAATGCCAGCCAGGAGGACGTTTCGGAATACACATTTGTGTGTGGAAATGACAAAGTCTCCGCTACCCTGACTGTAAAATGTGAGTAATCTGTATGCTGTCTTTAAACTTAAAAGAAATATAAAGTTACTATAAACAGCTTATTCACAAATGCAATTTCAAATCTTTCAGCAATTCTGATCACATCCATGCTTCAGGACATCAATGCTAAAGAAAAAGACACTGTTACATTTGAGGTTACCGTCAACTATGAAAGCATCACCTACAAATGGCTGAAGAATGGAGTAGAAATAAGATCCAGTGATAGATGCCAAACTCGCTGCAAGCAGTTCACCCACTCTCTCACTATCCGAAATGTTCACTTTGGGGATAGTGGAGAGTACAAGTTTGTGGCTGGATCTGCTGAAACATCTGCAAAACTCTTTGTTGATGGTTAGTTTTGTTTTTCTATTGACAGCTGCCTTAATGCAATCTAGTAGATTGGCTAACAAAAATCTGTGTTCTCCAGCTCGTGTGATTGAATTCACCAAGCACATTAAAGATGTAAAGGTAACTGAGAAGAAGACGACTATATTTGAATGTGAGCTTTCTGAACCCAACATCCCTGTAATGTGGATGAAGGATGGGCAGGAGTTTGAGTTGTCTGACAGGTATGGCTTCAGTTTTAAAGTAATTAACTCTACAGATAAATCAACTACAAAAACAAGAAAAAAACAACAAGGTCAAAAAAAAAATATTATTAATATTATTATTAATTATTATTATTATTATTTGCAGTCTAAAGATCTCTACTGTGTCCATAATATGTAACTTCCTTTTTTTAGGTTCAAAGCCACCACTGACAAATTCCTGCAGCGTTTGATGATCCAGTCAGTTCGCATGTCGGATGCCGGAGAGTTCTCTGTGGTTGCTGGTGCAAGTGTTTCCAAGGCAAACCTCATAGTGGAGGGCAAGGATGTCCACATCTCTGAGCCTGCTGAGAAGGACATCACTGTAACTATCCTTTGTCTTATTACAGTCACATGTTAAAACATTATCTGTGTGTCATGGTGAGATCACTTTTTTACTTTTTTTTTCATGCTTTTCAGGTGGTTGAGAAACAGAGGGCTACATTTGAGTTTGAAGTTAACGAGGATGAAATTGAAGGTCGCTGGCTGAAAAATGGTGTTGAAATTCAATCTTTTGAGGAGCGCTTTAACTATGTGACCGTTAGAAAGACACATCGCTTGACAATCACTGAGACTTACAGAAGTGATGCTGGAGAATATACATTCATAGCAGGAAAGAACAGGAGCACAGTCAATCTACATGTCCAGAGTGAGTGTACAGTTCAGATATCTATAAATATATTTAAATAAATGTTCAGATTATTTTGCTTACAAATTTTACACTGCCATTCAAAAGTGTGAAATAGTAAGTGAAATAAAAATAGTAAGCCACCACAAAATCAGACTTTGACACCTCTTTTTACTTTGAGATTGTTCATATCAAGAAATATTCTATAGCATTTTAATAGTTGGCAAACATTTAATATATGTTTATATTTAATCTCCAAATTAATGTAGAAACAATGTTAAGACTGTAGCCTATATATATATATATATATATATATATATATATATATTAACAGGTAGGAAATATACAGAAATTGAATAAATTGACCAAACACTTCACAGTCTTCACTGCATAAAGTATAAATTAAATACAGAATAATCCTTATTAATGCTACAAATGTCAAGAGCAGTGAGGGATTTTTTCTTTGTCTTGTTCTTTGATTATAACATGAATGGCTGCTGTCACTTTAAGAGCTTTAAGACTCTGCATATGAGAATACTCGACAAAGATACTTTCCGGGCTTACTTTTGTGCGTCTTGTTGTTTTTTGGCAGTCTATGGTTTTTGTCCGTTCAAGCGCGAAATAGAACTCAATGCGGCAGCGCGCTGTCCGTGTGTCCACTATATTCACAGATGCGTGGCGGTTCAGATTTGTCAAGTTCTTATTTTTGCTTTGTATTGCCTTTGAATCAATGATAGCGTGAACATACTGTAACATATACTAGCTTTTTACAGAAAATATTCAGATGTAGCCCTTTTTTTTAATCGATCAAGCTTATCAATTTATAACCTTTATGTAGGCTAATGTGTTTTTTCCCTGGCTTTCTTGGTAATAAACACTGAAATATATATTTTTTTTTTGTAAAAATGGAAAAGTCTTTACTGTCACTTTTCATCAATTGAATGCATTGTGACCCAAACTATTGGATGGTATACGCAAAATATTAATTGGAAAATATGTCTTCCACTCTTTCTGTCCATTGCATACCCGTATATTCCAAATGCATTGAACCACTACATTAAAGTGTGATTTGTGAAGCTGATTTTCTTGGTCTAACATGTGTCTTGATTTAATTCAGTCCCTGAGCCTCCTCAGATCATCAGGCACTTGCAGCCCCTGTCTGTTGAGGCTGGCAAACCTGCACGCTTCTCTGTGGAGGTGACAGGAATTCCTCAGCCTCAGGTGTCCTGGTATAAGAACTCTCAGGCCCTGTCTTCTGGGTTCAAGTGTAAGTTCCTGAGGGAGGGAAATGAGCACATATTGTTGCTCATTGAAGTCTTCCCAGAAGATGCAGCTCAGTACAACTGTGAAGCTAAGAATGACTATGGAGTAGCCACAAGTTCTGCATCACTTAATGTGGAAGGTAAGCTTATTTTGAGATTGTTTTTTAAAACCAATATTAGATACTGGTTTTCATATAACCAATATTTTTAACACAAACATAACTTCTGTGAACAGTTTCAGAAGTGGTTTCTCCAGAGACTGTGGCCCCAGGGTCTCGACCGGTAATTATTACCTCGCTGCAAGGTACCTCTGCTGAAGAGGGAGAATCAGCCAGATTCCAGTGCCGTGTCACTGGAGATGGTAAGGATCAACCCTTTGCATTAAACAAATGTGGAACATAGAATATGTTTTACATTTTTAATAAGCATATGAAATTTCCTTTGTGGAGTTAACAAGCATTTCTTTGTTATGTGTGCAGATCTGAAGATTACCTGGTACTGTAGAGAAAAGGAAATTGTGAAGTCTGACAACTTCATAATGTCTCAGTTTGATGACATCTGTCAGCTCGAGATCTCCAGAGCATATGCTCCAGATGCAGGAGAATACACATGTGTTGCACGCAATTCTGGAGGAATGGTCTCTTGCTCTGCAGTTTTGACGGTTAATGGTATGTGCAAACTTTTTAGGTTCCTTGTCTTCTCTCAAAACTATGCCATCCTTTTCTTGTTGAGCAACCTGACCTTTGTTTGTCTTTTTTAGCATGTTCCTTTGCTTAATACACGCTTTAAATGTCATGCATGATGGTCAGATCATTAACTTTAAATACACTGAACAATCTTGGCATAATGAATTTCTATAATCTTACCAAGACCAGGCCCCATTATTCTTTACTATGCATGTTAAAAGCACTGTTTTCCTATTAAATTCATTGATCCATCAGGCACAATATAGAAGAAACATTAAAAGATACAAATTGCATCACCTCTTTCTCATTATTAAGAAACCTAATCACAGATCATTAATAACTTTATTTTCAATGCATAGTTTTTTTTTCTCTCAAAAAACAAAACAAAAAAACAAACAAAAAAAACAGCACATTTTGCTTGTCATCATCCTCACAAATTTTGAAAACTCATCTATGGAATTCTGCCATCTCTCACTACCTTTACCATACATTGATGATCTATTATTTTTAAGCTTTAAATGGCAATTTGACATTTACAAATGTCTAATGTTATTCTTTTTATCGCTCAGATCTCAGTGTGAGAACAGTAGGTAGGCAAAGTGTTTCGAGCACCGGAATGACTCATTCGGAGATGGTCACCTCCCAGACCATGAGTGAGACTCATTGTTCCACTATGCAAACTTTTGAAAGCATCCCTACGGTGATGATGTCCACAACATCTGTTAAAAGCATAGAGGTCCAACAAGTTACCTCTGTGGAAGAATATTCAACAAGCCCCGTTTTGACTCAGAAAATGAGTGATGTATCTGTCGGCCTGGGTGATGTGGCTCAGTTCAACTGTTCCTTCAGTGGACAGCCATTTACTGAAATTGTATGGGATCATAACGGAAGGACGATCACAAATACAGAAAGGGTGCAGTGTGTACATCAAGGCAAGCTCATTTCTCTCATGATACTCCATGTCCATTTTGGGGACCAGGGACATTACTGCTGTACTGTTAAAAATAGAAATGGCGAGAATCGAACATCTGCACAGCTCACAGTCGAAGGTGGTTATAGTTTTTTTTGTCTTTGATGCTCATTTCCTCTCATCTGCTTCCTGCTGGTGTTCTGTTAATCTAAAATATGTTTCATGTGGCTATAACCAACTTTAATTTTTAATTAAATTTACAATGTAATATCCCACGTAATCTATTTTAATACTTAAAAAATTTTTGATCCTTCACATGCCTGGCCTAACATCATCCTACATCTTACTAACTTTTTTTTTGTTCTTATCAAAGCTAAAATATCATGCTGAATTACTGAATAATCCCTAATAAATTTCCCTAACTTTATTCTCACTCAGCTAAAGAAGCGAACCCCAAAGAAACCCCCATACCCTCCGATTCTATCAGTAAATCTTCTAAAACTGAAAATGAGTCAAGTAAAAAGGCCACTGACCAAGAAAATCAGGAGTCCCTGCAGAATGTTGGAGCCCTGACAACAAAGTGGCAGATAAACCGACATTACAATCCTGATGTTATCCCTTTGTTGGAGCGTGACATATATGATGCAATTCACCCAGAGTTCCTTGTGAAACTGTCCCCAGAATTCCTTGCCAAACAAAGGGAGAGTGTTTCTCTTTATAATGTAATCAAAGGAAGGCCCTCTCCATTCGTTGTATGGCTACACAACCAGTTGAATGTTGAAGAGCCAAGGTCATACTCCTTGAAACATGATGGGCCCTTGTGCTACTTAAATGTAAAGAATATCTGTTCTGAGCAAGAGGGCACACATTCTTGCAAAGTTATCAATGCTGCAGGAGACAAAACATGCAGCACTCATCTCAGAGTGAAGACAGGTTGGCATTTGCATGCTTTGGTCTTTACCACCTTTTATGTTAGCCCTGGGCACACTTTTTATTTACTTATGTCCACTCTTATAAGTAGAAAGACAGAAAAAAGAGAATGTGACGTCTTAAAAAATGGGAAAAAAATCACAACATGCAAATGTTGTTTCTAAAGGAGTCTGACAGATACTGCAGTGGACACCTGTCATGGGTGTTCTACGAGGGAGATATGGTCCATTTTCATTTGTTTTTTTTTTAATAAGAAGACAACACAGACACTAAAACACTGCACAGAAACTTTGCTGTCACTAATATTCGTTTGTTTTCACAGTGTCCAAAGTGGATGAGGAGGCCAGTCATAAAGAAGAAGCAAAAGGTAAATGAATAAATACAAATTATGGTGACTTGTTATCTTTTGTTTAGTTTGTGAATTGTTACCTTTTGTTCACTTAATTTAATTTTGTAGTGAGGCTTTTATTTATTTTTGCTCTGCATCATTTTGTAAATCTTTTTTTATGTAAATGTAACGTCTATAATGAATCTGCTGTTTTTTTCCCTCCACCAACAGTGTTTTTATGTATGTATTTTGTAGATATGATGATATCTAATATGACAAACACCATTATCATTTTTTTATTCAGTTTTTTCTACCTCTACTATATCAACTGAGGAGGACTCTTGCCAAACAAGTCTTCATTTAATAGAAAAAAGAAAAACGTTTGAACTCCAGCCAGAGTCTAAATTACTTTCAGAATCATTAGTGAAAAAGCCAGAAAAGCCAGTTTTTGTAACCAAATTCTCATCAGCAATTGCAACTGTTGGAAACACGGCTAAGTTTACTGTGATTGTGTCTGGATTTCCTAAGCCAGTTGTTCAGTGGTACCACAATGACCAATTATTAAAGTCCTCATCTTTTTATATATTAGTACAAGAGAAGGAAGAACACACTCTAATAATAACTAAAATTACAAAGGAGTTGGAGGGAGAGTATTCTTGCACAGCGAGCAACCGATTTGGCAAGTCAATATGTACTTCCCATCTTCATGTTAAGGTGAAGGACCCAAAGAAACAAGAAGAGACCATTGGGCAGCCTCCATATTTTGTCAAAGCAATTGAGCCTGTGCAATACGAAGTTGGGAGCCATGCTCTCCTTGAATACACTGTAACAGGAGTTCCACTTCCTGTTGTTCAGTGGTACAGAGGTAGCAATCAAATGCAGCCTAGCAAATACTGCATCATTGTGAACAACAAAGATGGGTCTGGATATTTAAAGATATTGGACATTCAACAAAGCGACAGTAGTCTTTACTCTTGTAAGGCATCTAATCCTTTTGGAGAAACTTCTTGCAGCGCAGAACTCATTGTATTCTTGAGGACTGTTTCAGCATCTGAAGCCACCGAGTCACATAGTGTCAGCCTTCCGGAACAAGTAAGAACTAGCCTTCAGCAGGGACACCAGATGGCTTGCACCATTGCCACAAAAGACAGACAAACTGTTACAAGTGAGCAGATACATACTTTGCATGTTTTAGATGAATCTACTGCCACTGTTCAAATGGAGCAGGTAACTCACCAAGCTGCATTAATGCAGTCTCATGATGTGCAGGAGAGAGTAAAAGTTGCCTCTGCCCAGGCAAACCTAGTGGTGGCAACTCCTCTGAAACAGCTGCAGATGGCTGCAATGATCTCTACTGTACAAGAAAATCAAGGCTTTATTGAGCAGCACTGTGATCAAATTGTTAGTCCAGAAGTCAGAGAGCTTGAATTGAGTTTTGAGGTGCCATCAAAACTTATGTCTGCCATTTCAGAAAGTACTTTACCTCTTAGCATAGTGAAAGCTGAGGATTTGATAAAAAGTGAAACAGAAAAGATGCACACAACTTTAACACCAAAGGTTATTGTTAGTAGTCATCAAGTTGAAATGAAGCTGCCAATTCTTGGAGAGGACTGCACAACAATTAAAAGCCCTGAAGAGATGAAAAGCTACAAAGTTACCGAAGGGGTTAGGTTATTGTATACTGCAACATCATCAGAGAATGTAGCACTTACAGAATGTAATGCTTCAGAGCTAGCAACTATTGAGTCCATTGAATGTTTAGCCGAAGAGGAACAAGCCAAACCAGTGCTTACGTCAGTTTGTGAAACTGAGCACACTCTTTTAAAAGAAAAACCCTTTGGAATGCATAGACCAGTTGAGGAAACTGCTCAGCTCTTTAAAGATCAAATATTAAAATCAGCCCTAGTTACTGAAGAAAAGATCAAGCTTCAAGCTGACAAAACCACTGGAATACCGGTCCTGGAGCATCCTTTTTCAGTCCATTCCCAGAAGGAAAAGGATCAGGTGCTTAATTTACAGCTTATCAGTGACCAAGACACTCTTTTGTCTGAAGTCAGATTTACTTGTGAGAAGCCAGATTTTGGAGCTGGCAGATGTCAGATGCCAGTTATTTTACACACAGTTTCTTCTGATGACCAGAAAACAGTTTTCTATGAACAAGTAGCACAGTGTGCATCCAAGTATACCACAATGGTTGTAAAGCCTAGTTTAGAGGTTCCTGGCCAATTACATCTCCACTCGGTGCAGTCGAAAACCTTTTTGTGTAAAGAAGAGTTAGTTTCAGTTGAAAAACCAGAAGAACAGAAAGCCACCCAGAGACAAGAAAAATACAGTAAATTTGTAGCCACTAAAGAAGAACAAGTAGAACTAACATCAGATTATGCTGAAGTCTTGATGTGAAAGTAGAAGGTCTTAAAATTGAGCTCAAAACAGAAGCCAGACCTTTGAGTGTTCTTCAGGTAGTCTCACAGCCTGTTCCACTTTCAAAGGAAAGCCCTATTGCAAGTGAGGTCAAGCCACAAAGTGCAATTTTGCAGAAAGAGGACTGGTGGAATAACATGCATGCAGCATCAGTGTCTGAATCTCATTCTATAGAAGAGGGCCTCACAGACAGTTTCAAAGCAGTTGAGAAATTCACTTGTAAGACAGATGTAGAGCCTAAAGTACCTGTTCAGTATTTGCATGTAGAGGACAAATCCATAGCAACAGAAAGTTGTGCTGCTCTTGAGGCTGCTGAGCAAGACTTTGCAGTTCAGATTCAAGAAGGTCAGTCTGTAAGACAGTCAGTACTTATAGAGGAAAAACATTCAATGACAGGTGAAATGTCAGAAGGATTTACCAGATCAGAAGCGACTAAAATAAACATTACAACACAGCCATTAGAACCGCTTTTAGTAAGTGAATCGCAAGAAAGCAAAACTCTTCCAAAGGAACTTACCTTTGTAATTCCTGTACCAAAATCACACAACTTGGACATCAAACAACAGTTGAGAATGACACTTCAGTCTGCTGTGGCTTGTGATCAGCCTTTAATTTTGGCAGATGTAGTGCAAAGTTTAGGAGTTGTGGAAGTAAAGGAGGTCAATGTGCGTATGGAACCAAACTACATGATGTGCACTTACCTTATTACAACAGCTGGTCCACCTATAGAAATTACAATCGTCTTCGAGGGTGTATACCCTCAGAGAGCAGCTCTTAAAGACGAACTTCCTGCTGCTTTCTACTCTATGCTTAATCAAGAGAAACTCGTCTTCAGCTCTGAACAGTCAAACATCTTAAAACTTGACAGACCTGAGAGATTGCTGGATAGCAAAGCTTCTTCATATCCATTATCCTCAGCAATTTTAACAGAAAATGTTGAAATGTTTACAACACCTAAAAAGCAGTCTGCAGCTCTGCAGACAGAAGCTCAAGTCTTTTTGCATTCCGCAATGACTCAAAGGCAAACTGCTATCCAGGAGTCAGAGCACCATGTGACCCAGAAGGCTGCAGAATCCAAAATGGAGATCCACCGTTTCAGTGAGACCGAACGCAGGGAAATTAAATCCATTTCATCTGAACATTATAAGAGAGAGGTGTGTTTTTCAGATATCACAGTTGATGCACCTCCTAGACAGATCACTGTGGAAGAGTCTATGGATGTTCTTATTCAAGAAGACAAAAGAGAGGCGGTTGCAACAGAGGGCATTTTAATTAAGCATTTGACAGAAGAGCTCCTTTTTGAAATACTATTAAAAGACATTTCTGCTGAAGAGAATTCCAAAGTTACATTGTCTGTGAGAATAAAAGGTGTTAAAAGTGTAAACTGGCTTTTGAACGGAGTATCGATTAAACCTGGCAAAGAGTTCAGATGTTTAAAGGACAGTGATTCTTACACACTAGTTATCAACAAAGTTATCAAGGGGAAACATGAAGGGGAATATACCTGTGAAGCTGTGAGTGAAGCTGGCAAGATATCATCATCCTCATCAAGGCTCACTGTTGTCTCAAGAGGTTGGATTGTGTGGATTTTGTCATCCTAGATGAGATAGATAATTCTTAACAATTCAACTTAGATCATCACTAATTAACTAGTTGGCACAGCTACATCATCTTTCCATTACTTCACAATTTCTTTAAGAATAGTTTTTAAGCATACATTATGTGTGCTAAATATCTTTTCACCCTCTTTCAATATAATGCCACATATTTCATCTTCTGAGTTCTTCAAGCATGACCATGTCATGTGTGGCTCTTCATCACCCATTTTCTAACGTTCACATCATTATTTTTTTTCCATGTCATCCCAGGATTACCATCATTCCTACCTTTCCATTTCTTATGCATCTTGATAAATCACACAACTCAGTAGTCCTATTATTGTCATTGTATTAATTTTTTGTATTTTATTTCCTTGCAAATTTCAGTGCCTCCAGTTTTCAAGAAGAAGTTTTATGACATTGAGAGCAACGTCGGCAGCCCAGTGAAGTTTGAATGCGAGATTGAAGAGACACCTAACGTGACTTTCAAGTGGTTCAAGTCTGGCTCTGAAATTAGACAGAGTGACAAGTTCAGGATCATCAGCTGGCAAAGGACATCATCTTTGGAGCTCCTCAACCCAACAAAGGCCGACATTGGTGAATACAGCTGTTGTGCATCAAACAAGCACGGTAGTGACACCTGCTCTGCTAATCTGTACATCACTGGTGAGTGAACTGACGTTATATTCTTTGCTTTTGCTGCTGACAAATCTTTAACAAAGGTTACTGATTTTTAAGGGTTCCGCTTTTTTTCTGTCCTTGAAATCCAATCTGCACTCTTGTGTATGACAGAGTTATGCATGTTTTGTAATCATATAAGCAATATATGATTCAACTTAAATTCTTTCAAAGTGATATTTAAATCACTGAAAATATGTCAGAATCTTTCAATATCTTCCTCTCAATATTATTCTTTTTTTGCTTTTAATTAAAACAATCTTTTTTGATTAATACAATTAATCCACCTGGGATCAATATTTCCGCCTATCTCTATAACCATGACTGAAACAGATGTGTAAATGTGATGTTTTAACACAGTCTCATCCCAAGACATCCCTTTAACGTCAAGGGTACCAAGGGTACTTTTTAACGTCAGGGTACCCTTTAACGTCAGTTAGATGACGATCCTGGGACGTCATACCACTGACGCTTTACCTTTAACGTCAGTTAGGTGACGGGGTAGGTTTAGGTCTGGGGTAGGGTTAGGATTCGATAACATCATCTAACCGATGTTAAAGGGTACCCTTAAACGGCGGATGTTGACGTATGGTCAAAAGTGTCAGTTGTATGACGTCTTGGGATAAGACTGTGCTGGATGTTTTAAGATTTCTCCCAATTAATTTATTTTTAATTATTATTATTATTTTTTAAATACATTGTAAATATTCATTTTAGAATATCTTCTGATAAGTAGATATATTTCCTTTTCTTGTATGTGAACTAACATTATATATTTGCAATACATCAATGACACAGGTTATCAAATATTTTGATGGCTGTATGTGGTAGAAGTAACTGATATTCAGATTTATTAATACTTTTGACTTGTGAAAACTTTAGCAATTTAGCATATCCCATTGTCTCTTGAGTGCATATTGGATCATAATTTTGGGAATTCATCAGTTTCAGCTATTTTACTTTATCCACCATATTTATGACCATCAGTGGGGTAAAGCAAAGGTGATGAATACAAAAACACATGAACAGAGACATTAAGAAAAAAATATTGATCTATGTATTTGATCCATACCAGGTCCCAAAAAACATGATCTGTGAAAATGTTTTCTGGGAACTGGGTATGGATCCAGTAATTGGTGTTTTCTTAGTATTTCTGTTCATGTGTTTTTGTATTCACTGCCATAACTCATTCCTGTTGATGGACATAAATATGGCGAATGAGCAGAAATAGTCACATATTTAAAATGGATGAATAGGACCATTATGATTAAGAATGGAAGGAAGATTCATAACATAGTTGGCTTTCAAAAAATGACAAGACCAATGTAGAACTTTTTCTTTGCTTGTAGAGTAGGGACAAAATTGCTCTTTTTTTGTGGCGTTTTAAGTCCTGTGCAGAAAATGTCCACAGTGTTACATGTTGTGTTATTTGATTGTTGTGTGTGTAAAGGTAAAGATGATGAAAATGCTAGTTATCCCGCAACTCACCACCTACCCACCAAAGAATTGCCACACACCATGCGTTTTTAGAGTCTAAATGGTTTATGATTTGTTAAAGCAGACATATCCATACAACTGCACTGCACATTTTTTGAGCTCTCGAGCCTTGTATGACATTGTCTTTGACTGGTAACTTATTGAATGCTTATATGGACCATTTTATATACTACATAAAATGAGGTTTAGGGATGCAGGAAAAAAAAAACTAGTTAAAAAAACTTGCTAGTGTAGTTATTATAGTTATTGTATTGTTATTGTAACCAAGATGATCAATACTATTAATAATAGCAATACGAGTTTTTGACTATGGTTTTTGCTGAAATCCGTTTAATTTTTATTCTCAGAAACCCCCTCCATCACAAAAGAATTACCAATGCTGGATGTAGTGAAGGTGACCAGTGCTTTATTTGGGAGTGAGCTCATTGGTACTGCCCCGTTTGAAATAAACTTGTTAAAAAATAAGAGATTTATCAATACTGACAAAATTATTTTTGAAGATTTAATTGAATATTTGGAGACACGTCCCTTTGAAAGTTCAGATTTTGGGGAGTACCAATGTTGCCTATCAAACGAAGTTGGAAAAATCGCCTCAAAATCAGTTGCTATAATAAGAGGTTAGTATGCTTGAGAAAGACAAGAAGAATAATCCCTGCAGGTTCCCAGCACTAACAGGTGTGTTACTAACAGGCAGCGCGGGCTACAATGGCAATTAACAAAGCTTTCAGGCAATTAAGCAGTTGCTGTTGCCATGAATTATCTGATTTATTTATTTTTTTTAAAAATACGGTTGACCTGCAATATCAACATTTTTCAACATCATCCATAAAAATCTAAAAACACCGGTGCGGTACAACATTTTATATTTTGTAACTTTTTATTTGGCATTACAACAGGAGATGTTGATCACTAATACAACTAAAGTTTATGCTTTAGAACACAAACACACTGAATAATATAATTAATTCTAATTCCTTTTTACTCTATAAAACCCTTTTGTCTATGCTCATAAAATCGATGGTCTAGGACTGACTGTGACTTTTTTCACTTGATTTTTTTCTTCTTCTTCACTTTTTGATTGATCTTTGAATTTCCTAGATCCATGGGTGTCCGTGCACTGAGTCTTTGTCCTTGAAGCCACTCTTTAGATTCTTACTCTAACCTTTGAGGATATCATCGAGTGCATTTGTATTGAATTATGCTGGAATAATAAGTTGTTCTGGTTCTCTTGTAGTTAAAGGTTGGAGTATCTTAAGATATTTGAACAGTGTTTGGCGTTCTTTTAGACTGGATTGTGTTTCGCATACCTTTTCTATATTGGATTAAAATCAATCTTTAGTTGTATTTCACTCTCTGTATTTGAAAATCACAGTTCATATTGCTTTCGTCAAGTGATAACTAGTTTCATCTGGTTGTGGATGTCAGAAACTATGACTGGTTTTACTGGTAAATTAATATTAGATATCTTGACAGTGGTTGTTGGTAAAATTGACCGGAAAACATCAAACAACGCACTATATACAAACTCTTTATCTTCTTAAAATGTTCTTATTTGAATCAGAACCTCATGTCTTTCTTAAGACACAATCTACATAATTTCTTTGAAAAGATGGTGAAACGGAAGAGTTTCAAGAGAAACGAAATGGAAGAGAAACCAAAATTCTTCAAAATGGATGCTTTCCATTTCATGTCAAGCCATTAATATTGAAAAATATTATTTTTAATTTAAAAAAAATCTTCAATCAAAGAGGTTTAAGAGACATCTTGTGTTTTGAAAAACTGAAATGGAAGAGAAACCGAAATTCTTCAAAATGGACACTTTTCATTTCATGTCAAGCCATTAATATTGAAAAATATTATTTTATATTTGAAGAAAAATCTTCAATGAAAGAGGTTCAAGAGACGTCTTGTGTTTGGAAGAAACCGAAATGGAAGAGAAGCCGAAATTCTTCAAAATGGACGCTTTCCATTTCATGTCAAGCCAAGCGATGTTTTATATTTGAAGAAAAATCTTCAGTCTTTTCTTTTTTCACAAGCTGGTTAATTGTCAGTTCAGATATCTTGACTTGAAGGATGGCACACAAATGGTGGCTCTTGGTACCTTTACTGGAATACTGAAATTCCTTCTTATTCTTGAATTTTGCAATGAAATGACCACTCTTATGAAATATCCAGTCACATGCCACAATGACGCAGGCTCTTGTTGTTCCTCAATGTTTTACCTCTTATATGTAATGCAGAATTATATAATTATGAAATGGCTGAGGAATGGAAAACAGACAATTCAACCGTCTTTGAATGTCAATGTCAGTGTTCTTGCAAAATTATGTAATTCCTTAAATCTTGTACTTAAATACCTTTGACGACTTATGGTGAACGCTTTTTACCACTAGAAAAACATTTGAATGCTACAATCATATTTATTTAATGCAACTCCCATTTGCAGAGATGTAACTCTAGCTATACTGTTCCTCACAGCATCAGCAGCTGCCCGCTTTGTGAAGACCCTGAGCAACATTTCCATCCCAATGAGCCAAAAGTTGAGACTTGAGTGCACATTCAGTGGAGCCCAGAAATTGTTTGTGACCTGGTTCAAAGATGGCAGACAACTCTATGCATCATACAGATACAATACAAAAGTCACAGATAACTCCTGCATTTTGGAATGTCTTCATGAATGTGACAAGAACACCACAGGAAAATACTCTTGTGAAGTCTCCAATGCCTTTGGAAGAGATATTTGCCATGCTAATGTGACTGCAGTGACGGGTTTGTATACTATGGATTTCAGTAATGCTCTATGCATTTACTATTATTACGTTATTCATTTTGGGCCTCTCAATTTTAAATAAAAGCTACCCGTAATTGACACTTCTCCAATATGTAAGCCTATATATAATTTTTTGGACTAAAGGTTTCCAATCCTCTTCATCTCAGAACCTGCCCGTTTTGTGAAGAAGTTGACAGATCAATTCATTCCAATGAGTAAAAAGCTAAGACTTGAATGCACATTCACCGGAGCTCCAAAAATGTTTGTCACTTGGTACAAGGATGGCAAACAGCTGTTTGCTTCATATCGATACAACACCAAAGTTACATCAGACTCCTGTATCCTGGAGTGTCTGCATGAGTGCAATAATGAGACTACAGGAAAATACTCATGTGAAGTTTCAAACGTTTATGGAACGGATATATGTCATGCTGAAGTTGTGGCAGTTACAGGTTTGTAATTTGTACTGGACCCTTGCCTGCCCATCTTTCAAAGTTCCATACCCATGGATTTTGCCCATGGATATAAAAGGAATAGTTTGATATTGCAGCGTTGGACCGCATGTCACCTGGAATGGTGTAATTTTTGTTCGTCGTGTTTTTTGTTTGTTTGCGGTTGGCAACAATATGGTGTGCTGCTATGACATTTTGCACGTTCATTGAAGTGGCCCATGCGTCTTAATTCAAATCTGTTTTATCCTGTATCAAGGCTACAGTGAGGGCTGGCATGTTTTTTGAGTGCTTGTTGTTGCGGGATATTGATCAACTTTGCGATTGCATCTGCAAGTTTCCATGCTTAAAATTGATTGCATACTTTAGCAAATTTGAGGAGTTTAATGATTTTAAAGAACAATCCGCATGTTGTAAAGGTTGATATGTTGCCTGTTTCTATAGTTCTTGTCGTTGTTAAGGAAGTCATTTAAATGGATCTGATGCTGTTCTTCGTAGAGCCTGCCCGCTTTGTGAAGAGGTTGACAGACATGGCTATCCCACTCAGTCAGAAACTGAGACTTCAGTGTACATTCACTGGAGCACCAAAGATGTTTGTCACATGGTACAAAGATGGAAAACAACTGTATGCTTCATACAGATACAATACAAGGATCATTGAGAACATGTGCGTCTTGGAATGCCTCCATGAATGTAACAATGGCACTCCTGGAAAATACTCTTGTGAAGTTTCAAATTCCTTTGGCACTGATATCTGTCATGCCAATATAACTACAGTTACAGGTTTGTATAGCATCCTAAAGGTTGATATGTTGCCTGTTTTTATAGTTCTTGTCGTTGTTAAGGAAGTCATTTAAATGGATCTGATGCTGTTCTTCGTAGAGCCTGCCCGCTTTGTGAAGAGGTTGACAGACATGGCTATCCCACTCAGTCAGAAACTGAGACTTCAGTGTACATTCACTGGAGCACCGAAGATGTTTGTCACATGGCACAAAGATGGAAAACAACTGTATGCCTCATACAGATACAACACAAGGATCATTGAGAACATGTGCATCTTGGAATGCCTCCATGAATGTAACAATGACACTCCTGGAAAATACTCTTGTGAAGTTTCAAATTCCTTTGGCACCGATATCTGTCATGCCAATATAACTACAGTTACAGGTTTGTTTAGCATCCTAGTTTACTTGTTTACAAATTTATTTCATGTTTAGGCAGACATAGGATAAAGATAAATTCGCTAATTTCTTGTTCTCAGAACCTGCCCGATTTGAACAGAAGCTTAAGGACAAAAAAGTTGCCATGAGCAAAAAATTGAAGCTTGAGTGCACATTTACCGGAGCTCCTAAAATCTTTGTCACTTGGTACAAGGATGGGAAACAAATATATGCCTCTTACAGATATAATACTCAAGTTGTTGGAAACACCTGCACTCTAGAATGTTTACATGAATGCACCAAAGACACTCCTGGAAAACACTCCTGTGAGGTGTCCAATTTCTATGGAAGTGATATCTGTCATGCTGAAGTGGTCACAGTATCTGGTTAGTACACTTTTAAAGGCCCTTTATATTAATGTTGGTTGGAATTCAAGTTGATTCTGTAGCGGAAGCCAGTGATTTTCAAGCATGATGGTCATGATATTCATGATGCTCATCCAATGTGATTCCTCTTAGGACCTGCTCGTTTTGTGAAGAAGCTCACAAACCAGAATCTTCAATGGGGGCAAAAGTTGAGGCTCGAATGTTCCTTCACAGGAATTGAAAAAATGTTTGTCACATGGTACAAGGATGGCAAACAGCTCTATGCGTCATACAGATGCAACACAAAAGTAATTGGAAACACTTGCGCTTTGGAATATCTTCACGAGTGTGATGTCAATACTCCTGGAAAATATTCTTGTGAGGTTACAAATGAAGATGGATCAGATATTTGTCATTCGCTGGTCACCCTTGCGACAGGTTAGTTAACTGCAGTCAGCTTATTTGAATGAATTTTGCAGATCAAGTTCCAACTTTTCCATTCTTTACAATACTTTTCAGTATGCTCATTTTTTCCCCAAATACTTTTTTTATTATTATTTTTTTTTTTTGGTCTCAAAGAGATCACACTTCTCTTGATTAATTGCTAGCATTTTAACAATGAAAAATGGAAATGACTATCATCCCAAATGAAACAAAAATAACAATTTGATTATTTTATAAAACGATTTTATATAGTATACTGACAAGTATATATAGTATACTGGCACTGGTGCACAATAGTCAAATGAAAAATAGTATTATTTTAATATAATTTACATAATATTATATAAAATATTATATGTATTAATATTTTAAACACTTAGCATTGATTTTTCTACTTCTACTATAATTTTAAGTGCCATTTTTTAATTTGTTTTTTGTTTGTTTCAATTTAATTTAGTTTTAGTACTTTAGTACTTCAAATTTTTGTACTGTATTTCAGAGTTTATCTAATGTTTATGCTTTATTTTATCCCAGATTTACTTAAATTATCATAAACATAACAACACTAATGCAAACTAAAACACTGTTGCAAAAATGCATTGAAAAGTGCATTAAATACAAACTGCTTTATGTTGTCCATAGCTTACACTTCAAGCTTAATTTGAATACATTTCACTGTAATATCACTTTTAAAACACTGCGAGTATTCTAATAAGCAAATTTAATTATGCTTTTCCACCATATTCTGGTTTACATTTAAGAGGAATATAGTCTTGGACTGAAAGCTTTTCTTTTCTAGAAGTCAAATTGAAAGGCTAGAGTAGACAGGGGCATTGCAAATATGAATAATTGTGTTTAACTATCAGAAAAAACGTCTCAGGTTACGTATGTAACCCTGGTTCCCTGAGAGGGAACGAGAGCTGCGTTGTCAAACGCGATGGGAACGCTCTGCGTGAAGCGTCTGTACAATCAGTCCAATGAGAGAGTAAGACGTCAGGTGACGTCATCGACCAGGAAACTATAAAGCACCCTTGAGATCAGACCGCGACAGCTTCTGTGAAAGGCCTGGAGCAAGTCGATCAGGGCATGCAGGAAGTATGGCAGGCAAACGCAGCTCTCGTTCCCTCTCAGGGAACCAGGGTTACATACGTAACCTGAGACGTTCCCTTTCAAGGGAACTTCGAGCTGCGTCGTCAAACGCGATGGGAACCCCATACCCACTACGTCATGCTGAGAAATGCCCGTTCTGTGTGAAGTCCTTGCGCACACTAAGAAGCAAGCAACCTAGCCCCAGGAGTGGAGAGGCCAAGTTCATAAAATCTGACAAATGTATGCGGAGAGGACATCCTGCCGCATTACAAATATCAAAAAGGGAAACACTCGGAATAAAGGCCGTAGAGGTCGCCATAGTAATCATTCTAGTAGAATGGGCCCGAACAGCCATAGGTGAAAGCTTTTCAGCCGCTTCATAAGCCAATGATATAGCCTCGACTATCCATTTGCTCATAACCTGTTTAGATGCAGGGGACTCTTTCTTGAGTGACCCAAAGCAGACAAATAATTGTTCAGACTTACGCCACAGGGCAGCTCTGTGAACGTAGGCATCTAATGCCCGAACTGGACATAACAGGTTCGGTCGTTCCTGATCTGGGGTATTAAAAGGTGGAGGATAAAAGGCCTGCAGCACTATAAGGCCCCCAAAAATTAACTGGGACCTAAGGAGTATAATCCGGTCTAGGGTATAGAAATGCTTTCACCATACCCGGTGCAGATTCCAGGCATAAAGGAGCAACCGACAGGGCATGCAAATCTCCTAATCTCCGGTAAATGAAACAGCAAGGAGAAATGTTTTCAAAGTGAGGAATTTTTCTGAAACCTCTTCAATGGGCTCAAAGGGAGCCAAAGCCAGACCCTCAAGTACAATGGCCAAATCCCAAGCCAGTGCTCTGAGTGCAGTGCAGGTCTCAACCTCATGTACCACCGAGAAAAACTAGTAATTAGAGGATCTCTCCCGATAGAAGTACCGGGAGGCCGATATACTTAAACCTTTAAGGTATACGCCACGTAAACCTTTAAGGTAGGAGGAGATAATCCAGCAGAGAAACGGTCTTGCAAGAAATCAAGAACTGTACCAACAGGGCAGTTAACAGGATCTTGGTGACGTTCACCACACCAGATGGAGAATAATTTCCATTTCAATGCATATAGTTTCTCTCGTGGAAGGAGCTCTGGCTTGGAGAATGGTCTCAACGACCTCAGTCTAAAGACAGGATTCTATGAGCCGGGCCCCCTCAGAGGCCAAGCCAAGTTTTCCAAACTCCAAATGAGGGTGAACTCCCGGGAGCAAAGATATCGGGAAATGCATACCGGTGTAGTGTTAACCACACCTAATACATCACATCCAGTCCAAGCAGAGCTGGATGTGTGAGGAGGAACCAAATAGAGCAATGCGTTGTACCAACAATGTGAAATGTCGACTGCCTTTAGTTTGACCCTAAGTTCTCCCTAAGAAGCTCCACCACCTCGGGGGTGAGTCTCCATTCCCTGGGCCTCAGCCCCTGCCTCAACAGGATATCTGCTCCGATATACGAGACCATCAGTGTTTTATCCGAAAGGACAAACACATAGTGACCTCTAGGGTCTGGCAGGAAGTATTGAGATTTTCGGGAATACCGCCATCACTTTTAACCAATTATGTGCTAAAAGGTAGATGGTCACTCCCATGATCATGATCACCCCCAACTTGTGAGGGAAGCATCCGTCATTATGCTTCGACAAGAAGCCCCCAAAAACTGGGCTTGGGCGAGGGACCAAGGTTCTTCGACATGACCGAAGCACGAAGGCAAAGCCGCGTGACCTTGATCATGCGAAACGTTTTTCTCCTCGGAGAAAACCCCTTGGTCCTGAGCCATCACTGCATGGGCCTCATGTACAAAAGGCCAAAAGTAACTACATTGGACACAGCTGCCATGAGAGACACCAGTCTAAAAAATGCTTGACGGTGAGTAACTGGCCTAGATATACCCCCCAACTTGTGAGGGAAGCATCCGTCGATAACATTATGCGTCGACAAGAAGCTCCCAACAGTGGGCCTGGGCGAGGAACCAAGGTTCTTCCACAAGATTGAAGCACGAAGGCAAAGCCGCGTGACCTTGATCATGCGAAAAACGTTTTTCTCCTCGGAGAAAACCCCTTGGTCCTGAGCCATCACTGCATGGGTCTCATGTACAGAAGGCCAAAAGTAATTACGTTGGACTCAGCTGCCATGATATATACCCCATTTACTGCTGTAAAAGGCCACACCTAGAAAAGTGGTCCTCAGAGCACACTCTTCTTGGCGTTGAGCAACAACCCCCAACATCTTAAAATGAGACAGAATGACATCTCAATGCTGAACTGCCACATGCTCAGATTGAGCTAGGATCAATCAATCATTGATAGTATAATACGCAAATGCCCTGGAGTCCAGAGGAGCCAGAGCTGCATCCGCGCATATTGAAAACAAAGGTGTGGGGTGAGAACCTTGGCTGAATGGGAGAACCCGATATTGGTATGCTTCGCCCCCAAAGCAAACCTCAGGAACCTCCTGTGATGAGGATGGAAAGAGAGAGTCGCACCCCAGAGGTTGCCGAGGAGAAACGATTTCTCAAAACCGTCCCTGCCCCGGAGCAGCCCTCAGAAGCCTGATAGCCTCATTTTTTTTGCGACAGGACTTCTTGTCTAAGCTTTATTAGACATTATGACAGTCCTCAGATCTTGCCTACCTCTTAACTAGCTTAGTTCCTACGACCCTCCTCGGAGGACCGTTGGATAAAGCAGGCACCTCGGCGTCCTGAAACGGCGAACCGGCAGGGAAACCGAACTGACTGCTCTTTTTTAAGGCTCGTTTGGGGACACTGAGACCTTGGTGCCCTGAAACGGCGAACCGGCAGGGAAACCGAACCGTCAGTGCTGCGACCCTCCTCAGAGAGTCGCACCCCAAAGGGCACTGAGGAGAAACAATTTCTCAAAACCGTCCCTACCCCAGAGGGGACCACCCTTAGAAGCCTGACCGCCTCGGCGTCAGGGCTTCTCCTTTGTCCAAGCTTTTTTAGAGATAAAACAGTCCTCAGATCTTGCATATCTCTAACTGGCTAGAGATGAATAAGATAAGATCATAAAATGCGCAATATCGGAAAATATTTGGAATGGGTCAGTCAGACATGATTATGACCACTTATTACGTTTTGTTTTGTAGAAATCCTTTCTTTAAAACGAATTTCGTTTTGAATAAATTGCATCTTCATTTTAATTTTTTTTTCATCAACGAATTGCCTGGATTAATTAATAAAAAGCAAATATAGTGATCAGGACACGTGCCGGCGCGTGACTGGAGCGTGACTCATACATGAACTGAACCTCGCATATTAGATACAAAATCTGAGAAGTGTATATATATAGTAAGCTTGAAATGTCTACTTTTAAACAAAACAAACAAGCTAAAAGAAATTGGCTGCTCTCTGCTTATGTTTAGGCTAATTCATATGAAGTGTGCATTACTCTTTATTCGCGTTTACTACCGCGAAGATGCTTGCATCGTCAATGCAATCTTTATCTTTGCAGCAGCTGACATAGAAAACACGTTGGGTCAGTCAGACATGATTATGAACACTTATTACGTTTTGTTTTGTACAAAGCCTTTCTTTAAAACGAATTTCGTTTTGAATAAATTGCATCTTCATTTATTATTTTTTTTTCATCAACGAATTGCCTGGATTAATAAATAAAAAGCAAAGATAGTAATCAGGACACGCGCCGACGCGTGACTGGAGCGCGATTCATACATGAACTGAAACTCGGCATATAAGATACATGTCTTAATGATCTGAGAAGTGTATATATATATAGTAAGCTTGAAATGTCTATACTTTTAAACAAAACAATTACAAGCTAAAAGAAATGGACTGCTCTCTGCTATAGGCTTATTCATATGAAGTGTGCATTAGGCTACTCTTTATTCGTCTTCACAACCGTGAAGATGCCAGTTTGCATCGTCAATGCAATCTTTATCTTTGCAGCAACTGACATAGAAAACACTAGTTTATTAATAAATAATTTCAGCTCGCGGCGCGTGATCTTCAGAAATGCGCTCCCCTCTCTAGAGGAAATATCACCACTCTGCTCACATTCTCTGGTGTGAGTAATGTGCATCTCCTGTTTTCTAATAGTTGATAGACAGCTTTTAGATGTATTATTGGAACCGACACTCTCTGGTTGAACGTGTCATCATGTGTGATGCCGTCTGAGCCTTATCTCGCAATTTTTAATTAGTCATGCGGTAATACCGTATACCGCGGTAAAATAGGGAGGAGGTTTGACGGTATGAAAGTTTGGATACCGCCCATGCCTACTACGCACATGGCACCCTATATCGTTAATATAACACGTGAACCCAAGACGTTATAAATCCTTTAGCGTGAATATGACACGCACACCCTACCCCACACCTAAACTTAGCCCTCACAGCGTGTGTTATATTAACGATAACGGGTGCCATGTGCGTAGTATAGCGCCGTTTTTGCATATAGCGTTGTATATTACGTTAAAGGATGAGAATGCGTTGGTATTTTGCTTTTAATATTAGTGACCTTGTGTGAAATGTGTTTTGTTTTTTAGAACGCAAAATTCCACCAACTTTCACTAAGAAGCCCTCAGAACACATTGAGGATGCTGAGGGCAAATTGATGAAGCTTGAGGGTCGAGTATCTGGTTCACAACCTCTGTCTGTAAGCTGGTACAAAGATAACAGTGAACTCAACACTTCTGACAACTATGACATTTCCTTCAAGGACAACACTGCTTTGATATGTCTCAAGAAGGCCAGTGTCAAAGACAGCGGAGTTTATACATGCAGAGCTTCGAATGAAGCTGGCACTGCCTCCTTCCAGGTGGTGGTTAACATCACAGGTAGTCAATATGGTTTACTGCATGATTTCTTGTTTCTCACTTATTTCTGTATTCCCCTTTCCTCTTTGCATGTTAATTATTTTTGTGATTTTGTGTGCTAATGTGATGCTGCTTTCTATTGTACTGCATAAACATGTACCCCCTACTTTTCACTGAAAAAGAACAGATGAAAATGCTGAAATTCTTCACTTTTTTAATACCTAGGGCAAAAAAGGCCACCGAGTTTTGACATTCCTCTAAAACCAGTAACAGTTAGTGCGGGCGAAAGGCTAAACCTTAGCTGCCATGTCTGCGGGTCTCCCCCAATGAAGATTCAGTGGATGAAAGACAGAAGGGAGGTCACATCCTCTGCTAACACCAGGATGGTGTTTGTGGATGGCACAGCCACCCTGGAGATAAACCAGACATACAAATCTGATGCAGGAGATTATCTGTGCAAGGCAACCAACAATGCTGGTAGTGAATTCTCCAAGGCCAAAGTCATATTCAAAGGTAATTAGAATTATCTAACTTTTCTCTGTAATAATAAATAATGTGCATTTCAATGCAGCGAAGGTAAATATGTAGTATTATTATTAACCTTAAATATTCTTGCTTTGAACTCTTCACATGTGATTAGTTTCTTTGCTTCATTTTCTACTTCTGGGTCTAATATTCTCAACCTTTCTAATAGTACCAAGTAGATAAAAGCCTATATCTAATTATCTTATTTCATCATGATGCATTTTGGTATCTTCATCTTAATAATACCCACATCTTGTTTTGTTCCACTTAAATGCTTTGGATCCACCTGATCTTGCTGTTTCTTAAATAGTTTTACCTTTTTTTCCCCATAGTGCACAACTAAGCTGCAGTGATCTTGATAATGTTTTCAAAAGATTTGCTTTCACATGCATATGTATTCTTCAGTAACCAAGTATCTTTTTATACATGCATATTGTCTAAATAGCAAAATGACATATCTTGCCAAATAAAAAGTCCTTACAAGTTGTGAGTTTAATGGCTCACAAGTTTTGTGAACGTTTAATGGATATTTACTGAACTTGTTAAAATAGTGGAATATGCCAAGTATCCTTATGTAGATTTCAGTCAATTTTTATTATTTGCTTAATGTGTTGTTCCATTGCCGGTATTACTCAGATAAAACAGCACTTGCAACAGCACCGGCAGCCCCCACAGCACCTCAGACAGTTAAAAAACTGGATAACTTGTTCTTCATTGAGGAGCCCAAGGGCGTTCATGTTATTGAGAGTAAGTTTATGCTTTTTGTTGAACAGTGTAGATATGTCATTTTTTTTAGATTAGAATTAAATGTACACAATATGGAAATCACATTAAATGGAAATGTCCATTAAATGGAAATCACATCATATTCTGGATTACAGAGGGTACGGCTACCTTCATTGCTAAAGTTGGTGGTGATCCCATTCCCAATGTGAAGTGGATGAAGGGCAAATGGAGGCAGATGACTCATGGTGGGCGTGTCAACATTCATCAAAAAGGCCAAGAGTCTAAACTGGAGATTAAAGAGGTGACCAAATCTGACTCTGGTCAGTACAGATGTGTTGCCTCAAACAAACATGGAGAAATTGAGTGCAGCACAGACTTGAATGTTGATGAGAAAAAAGATTCTGGGCCAGAGATGGTCAAACTGAAGAAGTGAGTCTGAAATTGGGATTTTCTTTGTCAGCAAAGCTCAAAATCACAATTCCGTAATGATTATAAACTTGCACTCTGTTTTGTTACGTTCAGGACTCCATCAAAGCAGAAAAGTCCAAAGGAAGATAAAGACATTGACATTGTTGAGTTGCTAAGAAATGTAGATCCAAAAGAGTATGAGAAATATGCTCGTATGTATGGAATCACAGACTTCCGAGGTCTTCTTCAAGCTATTGAGTTTCTGAAGAAGGAGAAGTGTGAAGAAAGTGGAAGACCGGTAGATACATCTACATTGTTTTGTCTTAACAGAGTTACAAATCTATTGTTTTCTTACATCTTGTTGAGATTGAAATCTGCAACAAATAGCTTTAATAGGTGCCCTTGTTTTTTGAATCAGGAAAGTGAACATGGAAGAGAAAGTGATGAGGATTTGGCTAAGCTTGTGGCTGATTTGCAGAGGAGAATGGAACAAAGTGAAGTATGTTCCTTCTTTGGGAAGTTTAAGTAACACCGCTTCAATTTTCAGCTTATGCTTTATCAGATGCATGCTGATGACCTAAATGTATGAATATTTTGTTTTTGCAGCCTGTCACCCTGCTTAACGACATCACAGATCAGTCAACACAAGTTAACAAAGAGGCTGTGTTTGAGTGTGAAATCAAAATCAACTATCCCGAAATTACACTGTCTTGGTATAAAGATGCACAAAAGCTAGAAACTAATGATAAATACGACATTAAACTCATGGGTGACCGCCAAATATTGAAGATCAAGAACTGTCAGACCAGCGACCAGGGAAATTACCGGGTCGTTTGTGGGCCACATATATCCAGTGCCAGACTGACAGTGTTGGGTAAGTCCATTTTAAAGACATTGTACTTTGCATTAAAACAACATTGATGAACATTTTACAAAATGAGGCCCCTTTTCCTCAATATTCTACAAAGAGTAAAGGTCATGTGCAGAACCATCCCCTGGTAAGAGGGTAGAATTGCTTTGTATAAGAAATTTAATTATCAGAATTGTATAAAAGGGCCATCTATATTGTCTATTCATGTAAGAAAATTACTAACCTCTTCTCGTTCAGCTACTTACTAGCAATTGCAAAGCATTCTTCATCCCCCCCCCCCCCCCCCCCCTTGTGCTTTAAAATTACTCGGCTACAGTGGTGTTGATTATGTACCAACAAAGTGTTGGACAAAAAAAAAAAAAAAGTGAGGGCCTTTGAAAGCACATTTACATTTCTTCTGATTTCTTTGCTCTTTTTTTGAATACAGTGAAATGACAAATGAAATGCATTTTGAGACAATTAACCATTCAAATCCTTTTATGTAATTTTTAGCTGATCAAATTCAGTTCACCAAGCGCATTCAAAATATTGTGGTGAATGAGCATCAGTCTGCCACTTTTGAGTGCGAGTTGTCTTTTGACAACGCGGTCGTCACCTGGTTTAAAGATGCATGGGAGCTTAAAGAGAGCCTGAAATATACCTTCAGATGTGAGGGACGAAGGCACTTTATGATCATCCGCAATGTAACCTCTGACGATGAAGGTGTGTACATTAATCCTCCTAGTGGCTTGCTATAAATGTAGAATTAAATAGATTTAAACAAAATTAACTTCACTGAAAATCTTTTAGGCGTGTACTCTGTGATTGCTCGCCTGGAGCCCATTGGTGAAACTAAAAGTACAGCTGAGCTTTATTTGTCAGGAAAAGGTAAAATCCACAGCAACATCACATTATGGCTTGTTTACTAGAGATTAGTCAACAGCAAATTACATTTCATCTTCTTTTGCAGAATTTGAAATAAGAACACGTTCTTTTGGTAAGTGGTTTGTTATGCACTAAATTGTTTCTGAGGATTAATCGTCTCTTACTTACTCTTCAAAAACACCAACTAATTTTTTTTACTAAATCTGCAAAACGTATGAGCAAAGAAATAAAAATATAAAATGTATCTCAACCTATCCAGATTTTCCTGATACATCGATATATGTACCAGATGTGTCATCTCTGATTAGTTTTAAAGGTAAGGTATAAATAAATAAACAAATATATAAATAGAAGGTCATGAAGTTTCACTTCATCTAACAATGATGCAATTGTTACCTTTTGTTTTAAAAGATGAATCCTCAGAATTTCATAATGAAGAACAATTTGAAATAACAGGTACTACTTCAAATTAGAAATAATCACTAATCTTTCTTAAACCTTAATATGTGAACTTGATGAGTACTTTCACTAAAGTACACTAAGCTTCCATCATCTCATCTCCCGAAAAGGATTGATAAACTAACATTACCATATTACCATCAGCACCTCACCATGTAATCCCACATTAATCTCACACTCACATCTAAAGTGGGTGTTTAATAAAATATAACTAATGTAATAAAATCTGATCCTAGAATTGTTCTTTTTCTTTCTTTCTTTCTTTCTTTCTTTCTTTCTTTCTTTCTTTCTTTCTTTCTTTCTTTCTTTCTTTCTTTCTTTCTTTCTTTCTTTCTTTCTTTCTTTCTTTCTTTCTTTCTTTCTTTCTTTCTTTCTTTCTTTCTTTCTTTCTTTCTTTGAATTTGCTTTTGCTTTTTTTTCAAAAAATTGCTGTTACACAACTGTTTTTGTATATAACAAAAAATCTTGTTGTATGGTAGAGTGTCAGAAATGGAAATTTCAAGAGGAGTGTGTAACTCGTGAATTCTCTTCACTGCAAGGTATACTGATTAGAAGTCTTAGAGTCTTTTACTTAGAGCATAACATTATGCTCGTCTTGTTTGTATGTGACGAGTTTCTTCACTCATTTTCATTTTAATGATTCTTCATTTCATCTTTTAAATCCCTCTTTTTTTACATATATTTTGTCAAAGCTTTAATGTGGTATTCCTTTGCTTTTTAACATAACTGACTGTTAAACATCATCACTCCCATCCCTCAATAACCAGGTATTCCATCATTTTCACTTCAGCATCATTAACATTTTTAATCCACAGGTATTGTGCTGTAAACTTTGTGTATGTGTGTTTGAAACTGAATTTGTGTGTCTATGTTCATGCCTAAGTTCTTGTTTCATGTTTTCATTAGACTTGAAGAAACCTGTTGAGGAGTCCGTAACAAAACGCCTAGTCGAGAGGACAGAGGAGGCGCCTAAGAAAGGTATTGGATAAGGGCAAAATGCTTGCACCAGACTTTGCTTATGGCTGTCCCAGATTATCTCTTAACATTTATGTACAGTATGCCAAGCCAACTGCTTTATTTTTTTCCTTCCAGTTAAACACTTACAACATGTCTGTGCTGAAACAAAGACATTTTTTGTGCGGGAGTTCTGTTTGTGTATTATGTCATTCTGCATTTTTTTATGTACTTTTTATGATTGTCCTTGATCGTATGTCCATAAATGTTTTCTTCTAATGCGTGTGCAATCATGCTAAAAGCATGGACACTTTGACTACTTAAACTCTGCTTAAGCTTTACAGCTGTATTTTAACAAAGCTTTTATGTACCTAAAATATGTGAGTTGTCTATTTTAACTCTTTTTTTTTTTTTTTTTTTTTTTTTTAAAAAAAAAACTTTTTGTTTTTTTGTTTTTAAACTTAAATGTTATGCTATTTGTATGTCCAGCTGTACTTTGAATTGTGAAGCACTTTGGTCAACATTCGTGTTGTTTTAAGGTGCTATAGAAATAAACTTGACTTTGACTTTGACTAAAGTTATGAAGCAACCAGAAGAGAAACCTGGAACAACGTTTGTACAGCCTTCAGTTCCCGAGAAAGGTATTATTATGTCCTTGCTTGACTTTTTACATTGTTCATGTGTTTCTTCCTCTGTGTGTTCATTGTTTTCCACCAAAATATCTAAACCAAATCTGTTTTGTGAGTTTGGTATGTTACCATATCAAATTTGTGTAAAATTCCTGTGATGCCATGATATTTTAAAGAATCTGAAGACAAGAAGCCTGTTGAGGAAAAAGTCCTATCTGTCAAGGTGACAGGGCAAAAAGAACAACCCACACCCAAAGGTATTATCAGCTATGTGTTTTCAGTGTGTATACTGTTAAATACGTTCTGTATTGATTGTATGTCTAAATGTTTTCTTTATCCATTTCAAATTTATGTATATTATGTGTAAATGTTGATATTTGTGTAACTGTAATTTGCAGTTTCTTCTTGTCATTTTCTTAATATCTTGGCATTCTATAATTCTTCACATATTGTTTATCTGTGATGTACCCAGAAATGTCTAAAACCTCTGTGTAATTCCTGTCTTTGTGTTTGTGTTGTCAGTTTCATTTAAGAATTAATAGTAATATCAGTGTTAATTATATATATTCTAAAACCTACACCATCAGAGCCTAAACCTCAGGTGCCAGCAGAACCAAAAGTTCCAGTGGCTGAACCAAAGCCTGAACTTAAGTCTGAGCCAAAAGTTCCAGTGGCTGAACCAAAGCCTGATCCTAAGTCTGAGCCAAAAGCTCTACCTAAACTTGAGCCCAAGCCGGAGGTAAAAGCTACACCAAAACCTGAGGCTGAACCTAAGCCTGCAGCTGCAAAGAAGGTTGAGGCACCTTCTGTCAAAGGTATTGTGTGTGATTTGTTGTCTGTTCTGCATTTTTTTCTTTGTGTTTGATTTGTGAGCATGTCTGTATGTGTCAAGTAAGATATGTACACATATTTTCATAAATTTGTTGTATGTGCAGTCCTCAACTCTTGTTCAACTTAAGAACATAAAGTCTCATCTGCTTTGTTTTTTTGGTTTTACTGTATGCTACTTTGTTTTTTTAAAAGCACCCGAAGCACCAAAGAAGCTAGAAGCTGCACCTCAACCATCCTTAGTTATTAAAAAAGATGAGGCTTTACCTCTAAAGTCAGATACTACTCAAATAAAAGGTAACTTAAATCTCAATACTTAAAAAGCACAATTATTGAGTATAATTCTTGCAAACCGCAAACCACGGTTTAACTGTTTGTTTGTTGTCTGTTTAAAGCTTTGTCACCAAAAATGGTGCTCTTGGAAAGCATGTGTAACTCTTCTTTTGATCTACTAATTGATTCTTTTTTATTATATGAGCTTCTGCATTCTACTTTGAATGCATATCTTTTCATGATATACTGTATAACACATGTGTTCTTTTAAAGCTCTTGTGGAGATGAAGGAAATTGAAGTACCAAAAGTAAAGCTAGATAGAAAACCAGAGCCTGCACTTGTTGCTGCTGAGCCACCAAAGAAAGAAGCCTCTACACTACTACAAGAAGAATCTATCAAAGATCATTTGCCTGTCCTCTCCGAGCCATCAAGTGTAGACCCAGCTAGACAGTTTAAACCTACACAAAGCCAGCATCCTGAGCCAGTTAGAAAACAAGAAGTCACATCAGCTCCACCAGAGGTTATAGTTGAACCAAGAAAGCCACCTTCCCGAGAAGTTTCCCAAGCAGAATCAGTCAGAAACGTTGAACCTTCACCTAAACCTTCAGAGTTACTGCAAGCAGATCAAGCAAAAAAGCAAGTGCCACCGAAGAGTGAACCAACCCCTAAAATCAGTGAGCCAGCACTTGCCCACAAAAAGGAGGGTCATCCAGAGAAAGGTATTAATAAATCTTCATATTAAGCTCTTTAATGTGCCCTGCAATAATGCGGTAGAAGTACAAACTCTCTTAAAAGTTACTGATCTTATTTACTCTTCTTAATGTGCTGTTCTTTGTCTTGTAAAAATGTTATATCTACAAAGCGGTTGAAGTAAAGGCTGCTGAACTACCATCTGAGAAAAAGCCTTTGACTAAATCTAAAATGGAGACTGAGATGCCCCTAGCCAAAGGTATGCTTGATTGGTCATGGGAGATACAAATTGAATTTGTATCTCTGCATTACTAGATCTTTTTGTGGTACAAAAAAAAAACAAAACAGATGCCCTACTATTTACTGGGTAACCATTATTAACATTTTAATCATAATTAGATGGAAAACATTTTTTAATATTATTAATATATATTAATCTGCTATGAGGTAAATAAGTTTAAAGAACCTTCAATAACCCAAGTCACAGAAAAGTGTTGCATTTTGACTGTACTGCCAAAATAAACAATATCCCTAAACTTATAACAAATTATCCTTTCTAAATTAAAGTAGGGAAATGTGTTAACATACCCTTTGATGTTTCATGTTGGTATGCATGTTTTGTTGAAAACTCTTCTACCACCGTTGCATGGTGCAATCTTGAAAATCTTTCGTCTTTAAAGTCTTTGCAGCGTCTGAAGAAAGAATTGAACAAAATCCCTACACAGTGCAAGCAACTCAGAAGATTTACATGGAAGAAATGTTTTTGAAAGAGGAAATTGCGGAAGAGAGTAAAAGCATGCCTCATCAACCTGAGGAAATTTTGTCTCTTCAAGAACATATTATAAAGATGGATATGAGTCATCACAGTAGAGAATTAGCTCCTGAAGATTTGAAAATAGTTGAAACAGAGGTTTCCCTGATACAAATAAAAGAGATACCCGAGACAACCTCATCAAAGCAAGAAATGCATATTGAGAACATTGAAATTCCTTCAGAAGCTGTGGTGAATTTCAGCATTGAGTCGTCACTGAGAAGTCAAAATATAACACCAGATGAAAAGAAAAAAACGGCAGATATGCCTCTACAAAAGAGAGAAGACACCCCCAGAATAGAGATGGCCATTCAGAGAAAAATAGAAGCTCACAAAAAAGAGAATATTCACTTACAACAGTCTGTTCATGAAAACAACAGATCACAGGAGGAACCCCCTCAGATATCACCAGAGATAACACCATTAGTAAAACCAAAAGAAAATGGAACAAAAATGAAGGAAGTGCGTAAAGTACTTGAAAGAGGTAAACCTTATAATCTTCAGCAAATGCTTCAACTGGTAAATTGCAATCTTTACTTGAATTATCTGCCGAAAAGGCAATTGTGTTTTTCTTTTCTGTCTTAAAAGTCTTTTGTGGGCAATTTTTTGCAAAAGTTCCTCTTTAGCTTCTTGTATCTTGAATATGTTATAATTCTTAATTAGACTAGAAGACCCAGGCTGTTACAACTCCTGTGTCAAAAGTTGTTTCACCTTCAAATAGTACTTAAAAGGCTGGGGGATTTGGTGCTATTACTCTTCAGTTCTTGGTTCAGTATGTGAAAACGTGTCTGTATGCTCATCTGTAAATGTTCAGGGTCTATTTCTTGGTTTTGATCATGGCTTACTTTTATTTTAAGAACCAGGTTTAGTAAAGAAACCTGAACCGGAAGTCCCAAAGGCAACTGTGGCTCCAGTTGAACAGAAAACATTTCCTCCATCAAAAGGTATACAGCAAAACTGGAAGAAACACTTCTTTGATGATGTTTGTTTCATATATTCTTTTGTCGTTATGTTTAAATGTTCTTTGACCAATACAGTAACACATTTTTCCACATGTGCCTTTATTACTTAATTAAAGAGCCAGCTGTTGAAAGCAAACCTGAGGCACTGAAGCCAAGTGTGGCTCCAGTTAAACAGAAAATGCCTCTTTTTAAAAGTTATTCAAAGTCACAATGTGGTAGAACTCTTTTCTGGTCTGTTTGTCAGTCTTTGGTATGTGTTTGATTGTTTTGTTAGACTAATGATCTTTACATGGTTCTTGTCTTTTATCTTATCTTTGTTTTTATCGCTTGTGATTATGGCATTGTTTTATTTAAAGAGCCAAGTGTTGAAAATAAACCAGTTCCTGAAGTACCAAAGCGAACTGTGACTCCAGTAGAACATAAAACAATATATCCTCCAAAAGGTATTTAAAGCAAAACTGGCAAACATTTTTGCTGGTCTTATACTGCCCTACAAAGCAAAAAGGCAGTAACTGCAGTTTTGGTAAAGCATTAATTATTACAATTTTCATGACATTCAAGGCATCCTTTGTTATGTGACAAAACATCTTATGTTAAATGCGTGTCGTTTTAGAGAAAAATGGTAGTCGTTTGTACAGTAACTGCAAAAAGCCCTAGCAAAAGTCATTTTTCTCAGCTCTGCACTCTGCGTAGTTACTGCCTTTTTGCTTTGTAGGGCAGTATAGTCTTTGGTATGTTGTGTGATTGTTCTTATTTATGTTTAACTTTAAATGTTCATTGTCCATATACATCACATCTTATTTCATATTTGTCTTCACAATTTTTGGTTGATTATGGTATTATTTTATTTAAAGAGCCAACTATTGAAAAGGAACCATCTCCTGTTGCACCAAAGCCAACAGCAACTCCAATTGAACAGAAAGTCTCTCCACCCACAGGTAGAGTCTCTGTTTTCATGTCTTCTGTATCAATTGTTATTGTTGTTGGTGTTCCCTTGTGTTTTCAATGTGTCTTTAGTTTGTGCATTCTACTTTTTTAAGGATCTTTTAAATATTGTCTTGTTTTTACTGTACATGTTTAAAATACTAACTTTGACATTTGTTTTAAGTTTCTTAATCAATTATGGATGTGAGTTGTCTACTTTTGTATTACAATTTGTTTAAATATATATACTGTACCATTATGATTGATGGTCAAATTAAACTTTATTTAATTTTGGTGAAATGGTCAAATTAAAGTTTATTTAAAGTAAATTAATGGTAAGTATGCAAACCTGCATGACATTCTTTTTTTTCAAGAAACTCCAATTGAGATGTTTAATAGAATGTCTGAGCTATTGTATTCTATACCGTGATAGTGGATAGGGACCAGGGACGGTCAAGTTCCAGAAAATATTGACAACAAAATTGCCTCTTAAGTAGTCTATGGGCCCAAACACAAATCGCAAGTATCAAACACAAATCGCAAGTAACTTTGTGGGCGAATCTCGACACAAATATAAAATGGGTTGTTCTGAAGTAGCTACATTACTCATAGGTGTGGTTTGGGCATAACGTGCAATAAACCAATCAGAGCGTCTTCTCACATTCTCTTTAAGATCAGGCGTGCTTGTTCCATGGCAGATTGCTATATTTATGCCGAATTTGCCAGGCGTATGCCACGAGCGGTTCACAGCTGAGGAGTAGGGATGGGCAAATGAAGCCTCATGAAGCACTGAAGCTTTTCCCTGACTGTTCCGCGAAAAAGTTTCGAAGCATCAAGAGTGTCGAAAACCGCGCCATCTTGTGGCAGGTCAAATTTATAGCAGCCATAAACCTGAGTGCGCAGCACCGTTGTTTTATCTATTAAGCACATATAAAAGCCTGACAACGCTAAATGTTCAGTTTTCTGATAATGTAATTCACACATTAAAGTGTGGCAATAAATTAAATTTAACAATTATATTAATACTTTTATAGAAATACCAACCATGAGTTGCTTTCATGGTCACTGTTTACTTTCATTGAATAGAAAAAAGCAGCAGGGTGTAATATTATAAGCATTTCCTTTTGTAACGTAGAAACGAGAGCAGATCATCTTAAGACAGGTTTCACGTGTGATTTGATACATTCGTATGCTGCCAATCCCATTGTACGAATGATCGTATGTTGTTAAATGTGGTGATAAATGTGCCATTTGTTTCACGTCCCTAAAAATTCACAGTTTAGAAACCTCGCCCCTAGAGTTTACATCATGGAGAAATGAAACACGACCAAGAAGAGGAAGTAATCGCATGAAAGAGAAATTGATCTTACTCTAAAAAACACCCATTAGCCTCATTAATTACAATCAAATATATTTATTTATATGTACAGGACTATATTAAATACAGTAACATTTGTAACATGGAACATTTACAAACATTATAAACATTATAAACTAGGCTATTTCTCACTCCACAGCAAATTCTTCAAATTTAACAGTATTTAGAACAGAACAAAAATGATAAATAAGTAGGTGTAAATTATGTATTAAACTATAAAATAAAACACATTAGGCTATAGTGGCATTCATTATAAACAATGGGCTAATTGGCTCACCTCTCTCATTCAGCAAGAATCCCAAATATGTTTCCATATTTGCCATGTAACATTCGGTTGCTAAACTATTATTATGTAAACGATGCTTTGTATTACACTTGTGTTTCAATATCCACTTAAAACAGCATCCTTCATTTGTGCAAAAATGTATTTGGTTAGGCGCTGAGCACACTGATCTATAATTTTAATTTGACATAATCTAGTCTTTAAAGTCCCCGTGAACCGGAAGTCGCAAACGATTTTTCTCCAGTGCTGTGACGTATTTCCAAGTGAAACGGAATATTGAACAGAGGGCAGGGTTTTACTCTAGCGCTCCTCCTCTCCATCTCTCGCTCATTGTAAACTAACGGTTTGAGGGGAGTGGTTAAGCGTTTCCCCACCCAAACTGTGAAACCTACGTCATCAGAAAAAGAAACCGTTCCAGACCGGAAGTAACTTTTCAGATTTTGATTAAAGATTACCAAGGTAAAACATTTTTTTAATATATTTTTACTTGCACGGATTAATTGTTCACCACAAGACTAGTAATATGCGCTAACAAAGTAAATAGGTTCAATTTTGATTTCACAGGGACTTTAACAGTTAATGATCGATGAATGAGCTTCAGGAAAATAATTTAAATGAAGAAAATGCTCTCTATAAATAAAATGCATTTCTCCACAAATACTTGCCTACACGAGCTGAGACCTGACTTGATTTGAGATTTGATTGTAGCCACCGCTCTTGTCCATATTGATAAATGCCAAGTTTTGTGTTGAAATGGCCATACGCCCAGTTTTCTGTTGTATACTTCATAAAGGAGGCCCAAGGAGAGTAAATGATGATGGAGTTAAATATTTTGAGTGCATTCTCATTTTGACTTGCATGTCTGTTGGTATCTGTTTAATCTGAAATGATCTCTGAAACAGATGCAGTCAAAGGCCCTGTTACAGCTCCTGGACCTGCTCCCAAAGGTATGCGACTTAAATTGCATAAATTAATCTTACAAGGTTTAATTATCAAACATATTAAAATCAGTTATTCAGGGATCACATTTTTTGTTATGTTTGTCTCTTTGTTGTTTTTGTTTTTTTCGTGCTATATTTTTTCCATCTATTTGGCTCAGTGCTATTTAGTAGGGTTGATATTAATTTTGGTCTTAATTCCTATATTTCTCATAAAAAAGTTGAATAGTTTTCCATGAAGGTTACACTGATGACTTTAGCTTCAACCCTTCAATGTGATATATGTACAGGGTGTCTTATGTCATGCTGATTGTACTGTCCATGTCATGTGATTTTTGTGACATTTATCGCCTCAGAAACAACTAGCACTGCACAAGCACTTCTTAAACGAAAGAGTAAAATTCACGTCAAGGAAGAGGAAAAATTGGAAATTCCAACCATAAAGAAAGTAACCAAAAGATCTAAAGAACATCAGGGAGATCATGAAGTTATATCACTTAAGAAAGTCAACAAGATTCAGCACGAAGAACTACCAAAAGAAGCAGGACAACTTCTCCATAAAGTTGAGAAAGTCGAAATGGTTGGAGAGGAGATGGTGAATTCAAATGCTGTTAGTGAAGTCAAACTCACCAGCAGTCACAAAGTCACAACAGATACTTGGTCATATGAAACTGCCACAAAAACAGAGAAAATATCAAAGGGGGAGGAAAAGAAGATAGAACAGTACAAGAATGTGTGGGAGCAGAAAGTGATTATTTCTGAAATAGGAGGAAGAGATGTAGTAAATACGGAGCCAAGTCTGAAAAAGGTAACCAAATCAATATCTATGGAGGAACAGGAAACTGTCAAATTAAAACCTGTTGAGAAGTCAGATAAAGCTGTTGTAGGTCCACAGAAAGATAGCAACATAGAGAAGAGTGAAGAGAGTATTGGTGTCCAGAAACATGAAAGACTCATGAAGGATGAACCTGTTTCAAAGAAGAAGATAGAAGTGACGGTTACAGATCAGACAGCTAAAGAATCCGTAATGCCAAAACCTTCTATGGCTAAAGATGAAATCTCCAAAGAACATGAGAAATTTCCAAAGAAATCAAACAGAATTCTACCACAGGAAGAGGAGCCAGAAACTGTGACACTGAAAACTTTTCCCAAAAAATTTCATGCTGATGTAACCCCTGAAAAGGTTCCTCAAGAACGAAAAGAGAAAAAGCCTGTAGATATTAAGTATCCAGAGAGGCCGGAAACGCATCATATCCTGAAGGAACCTCACATCCCGGTAAAAGAACCTGGAAAAAGTGAAAAAACATATGAAGAGCCAGAAAGGATAAAAAAGCCACCTCCCCATGAGCATCTCCCCATGATGAGTACTACTACTGCAGAAAAGACAACACTGGAAGGTCTCAAGGAAGAGCAGGCAATAACTAAAAACCTTGGAATTATTCCAAAGGATGAAGCAAAAAAAGAAGAGATTTCATTGAAACCCGTAAAAGGAAAAATAATTGCAGAGAAAATTACTTCACCAAAGGTAGATAAACCTAGTCCTCAAGTCACTTCACTGACAAAAAAGAGTCCAAAAGATGATGATAATAAGCCAGCAATTTCAAAAAAGATTGTTTGTTCACCAAAGGAAATGGAGGAGAAAAAACCTGAAGAGCTGAAAAAGACACCTTCACCAAAAGCAGAGATGCCAAAATCTAAACCCTCTGGATCCATTCCAATGGAAAGAAAGTCTAGTGCTAAATCAACCAAGAATATTTCACCAAAAGATTCACTTGAGTCTGTAATTCTGAAGAAAGTCTCAAAGACAGTTTCCCCCAAAGAAGAAAAGACTAATTTGAAAACAAGTGAAGACAAAGTGCCAGTGGTGAAGGAATTGTCTCCAAGCGTTCTGCATCTACAAAAGATTCCTACACAGCAAGAAGAGGTAGTTCATGAGGCGGTGGATGATGATGAAGAAGAAGAAACCTGGGGATGGGAACTTGCTCCTAGGGACAGTTATGGATCTGAAACCTTTGATGACGTTTTGGAGTTTGGGGCCGTTGAAACCCCAGGAATGGGTGACAAGAAAGGTGAGATGGTATCACCAAAAGCTTACCATCGGTATTTCATGGCTCCCTACAGTCGTTCCAAATAATATCCACTCAACCCAACCTTCATTTTAACCCTTTAACAAGTGTCTTCTTTTTTCAATTTTCAATTTTTCTTCAATTGTCTTTGATGTTTGATGTTTGTCCTTCCCTTAATTCGTTCGTTCTTTCGTTCTTAATTGATCAAATCCTCTTGATAAAATGTTGTGTGTCTGTTCTGTCTTAAAACTGTTCGTCACTATCATTTTCATTCCTTTGTCTTCATTTGTAACTTTTGTTGTGGGTGTCAACTGTCCTGGGCTGTGTTTTTAAACTTTGTTCAAATTTGTCAAACTGTGTTTTATTGTCTAATTAATCCTATCACATATATTTTATAAGGTATATATAATTTATCAACCAAACATTTCAGACCTCTGTGTTTTACTATTTCAAGCCTTGCTTAGTATAACAATATTTCAAACAGATGGAAAACCAAAGGAGGAGCCAGCTCCAGGCAGAGGCAGAGGACTAAGACGTACGTTCATAATATACTGTACATTCATAATATGCATTTATCATTTTACATTGCAAGTGTTTATTTTTGTTAATTTTGAAGTCATTTAAGTATAATTTGAAATTAAACTTGCCCATAATGATACAACTAACTGTTTAAAAAAAATTTTTTATATATTTTTATATATTTATATATATATATATATTTATTGTAGCAAGACAAACTCCTTCTCCTGGTGATGGTGGAAGGGGTAGAGGGAAACCTGGTGGTGGTGGTGACAAGCCTCCTGGAGATTCACCATTTGGTTTCCAGCTCAAAGCGGTACCCCTCAAATTTGTGAAGGAGCTCCAGGACATTGTGTTGCAGGAGGCTGAGTCAATTGGCTCCTCGGCTGTATTTGAGTGCCAGATCTCTCCATCTACTGCTATCACCACCTGGATGAAAGATGGAAGCAATCTAAGGGAGAGTCCAAAGCACAAATTCACATCTGATGGCAAAGACCGGAAACTGCAAATCATTGATGTACAGCTTTCAGATACTGGAGAGTACACATGTGTTGCAAAGCTGGGCAACAAAGAGAAGACCTCAACAGCTAAACTTGTAGTAGAAGGTATTTGTGACTGCTATCCCTCAAATCATTTCTATTCAATTAAAATGTAATGTCAATATTGGTGGTTAATATGTTAATATTTTGGAACTAATAATGTATGATTGTTAAAGTTGCATTTCTTCTTTCATCTCATATAGAATTACCTGTGAAATTCACAAAGAATCTTGAAGAAGAGACCTCCGTGCTTAAGGGGCAGCCAATGTATTTGACCTGTGAGTTGAGCAAGGACAAAGATGTGGTCTGGAAGAAGAATGGAAAAGAGATCAAGGAAATTCCGGGCAAAATTCAAATCAACGTTATTGGACTACAGCGTGCCATCACAATTCAGGGCACGAATGATGATGATGCTGGTCTTTACACATGCGAGTGTGAAAACATTAAAACTCAAACTAATGTCAAGATTATTGGTATGATTTTTTCTTACTTTAATGTCTTTGTTAAATTTAGAGCCGATGTGAATTAACCCATGTCTGTATTGAACAGAAATTGTAAGAGACTGGTTAGTGAAACCTTTGCGGGACCAGCATGTGAAACCCAAAGCCACTGCTACATTTAAGGGCGAGCTCTTCAAAGACACACCTAACTGGAAGTGGTACAAGGGTAATGATGAAATCCCAAATGAGCCTACTGATAAGACGGAGGTGAAGAAGGAGGGTAAAGAGATCACTCTTACGGTCAAAAATACCCAGCCTGATGACGTTGCTGAATATGCTGTGGAGGTTGAAGGCCACAGATACATAGCAAAACTAACACTTGGAGGTACAGCATGTAAAAACAAACAGAACAACAACGGAGGAAAAGTGTTGATTTCTGGTTATGTTTCCATCTTAAAATGTTGTATATAAACCTTTTAATCTCTATTCAGAACGTGAAGCTGAGATCTTGAAGCCTCTTGCAAGTGTGGAGGTGGTTGAGAAAACGGAGGCCAACTTTGACACTGAAATTTCAGAAGATGATGTGCCTGGAGAATGGAAACTTGGAGGTCAGGTTCTGACAAGATCACCGGTAAGATCTTATTCAAGAATGCTACAAAATGAATCATTCCCAATTCTGGGGAAACTACTTTGAAACTGTGGCTTGGCTTCCCAGGCTAAAAGCTATAAATTGCCAAGCTCCCCATTTTGAGATGTCGAAAAAAACCCAAACCACTTAAAGCTATTTATGGGGGTGATATCTTTTTAGTTAACTATCAGATGAATTAAGTCGTTTTATAATAAAGTCAATTAGGGTGACTATTCAGTTATATTACACAAAATACTAACTTTTTTTAAAGCACATTGTTCAGCAAATTTACTGATTCATAATTTTCTTCTATTTTAGACATGTGACATCAGATCTGAGGGAACCAAACGATTCCTTACTATCAAAAATGTTCAGCTTGATCAGGCTGGTGAAGTTACATACCAAGCTCTGAATGCTGTGACAAGTGCTATGCTCACAGTCAAAGGTAAGAGAACAATGGATGTTTTTCTACAGCATAAAAAAATGAACATGAACATTTACAAATGCAGATGAGTGACGATATGGACAATGTACATTCTTACCTACCAGAGTTGGAAATGGAATTCACAGTCCC